GGCATGCGAATCACTTCGATTTTACCGCCTCGGCTCGTGAAACTAGTTGGGAGGTTAGGCTGTTTCTGAAAATGCTCGTTTCCAAGTTATAAGTAAGTCTTGTATTTTTCTCTCATAATCAAGCATCTATCATGTAATGTACCAAGAAAAGATCTAATAGGTGTGTTCGTCTGGAGGAATTTCCGATGAGGACGTTTCCTGGCCGACGAGCACACAGCTCCCCAAGAGGTTGGCTTTGGTTGATATTGTCTATCGGGCTTCTGCTTATTGGAGGCTGTAAGAGAAAGACATAGTTATTTTGAAAGGTGCCTTTATGGGGCCTTAGGTGTAGGCCTTGAGGTTCACAATCAAAATTAACTTTAGGTGTTCAGGCGTGCCATTGCCATCTTTAGCATGACAGATGTAAAACATATGTTTAGTTTAATTGTATATGCCCGAGAGACTAAGTTAGCTATGAAAGGTACCTTCGTAGGGCCTTAGGTGTAGGCCTTGAGGCTTGCATTCAAAACTTAACTAAGTACTCGAACATATAGTGGTTGTTTCATTGTTGCAGAAGTTTTACAACTGTTATACTTTAATCACCCGAGCCCGAAGAGCAGAATGAAGCCAGATAGGTGCCTTTATAGGGCCTTAAGTATAGGCCTTGAGGCTTGCCATCAGAATTAATTTTATACTCAAGTGTTCTGTGGCAATCATAATATAACAGAAGTAAAACTAAGAAATATGCTGATTACTTGCGCCTCAAGTAACTTCAGACTTCTTGTTATCAAGGATTATCGTGGATGGGTTAAGTCCACATAAAGTTCTTTTTATGCCTTGAGACCAATGACTTTTGACTGATAAATCTTGTATCCCCGAAATGTTAGAACTTAGATCTGGTCAAGTTATGAGTGCGGATTCCAACTTTATCTTTTGCATGGTTGGGTACCATTAAACAGACCAGATCCAAGAACCAAGAAGCCTTTTAATCATAAACTTGCTAGAAATAACTTGGATACAGATGGAAGTATACATCATATTACTAGATTTATGAATGAAAAGACAGAACAAAGAGGGTCGGGCAAGGTTTCACCATGTCGGGCAAGGTTGATCGTCTTGCAACTTCCTCTCTTTGTGATTTACAAAGGGTTTGAGTGCTAGAAGGAGAGATTGGAAGATGAGTTTACAGGAGGGAATCGATACTACATCAAGATTCAGACAAGGTAACAGAGCTTTTACAAAGGCTTTTGGTGAAGGTTGATCCTGAAAAGGATGAAGGTTTAGTGCTGACTACAGCTTCGTATGCAAATCTGGCTTGAGTAGAGTTTGTGTATTTGTTTGTTTGATTGAGTGTCCTTATATCTGATTTCTCTTTCCTTTTTTATAGATGATTTGGCTTGGCTGTCTGCAGCATCGATGTTGCCCGAATGCGGCTGAAGGGTAATGACTCATCAGCTTTTTACTTGTACTGTCATTGTAAATTACTTTTGAGTTGATTGGTTGGCTAGTCTACACCACTTGACTTTTACGTAGGTGAGTAAGTGGCTCAAGTGATCTGCACTTAGTCGAGAAAAGGGCTTCTTCTGCCTTTTGGGCTTCGACTGAGCCTTGGGCTTCCTTCCTTCTATACATTCTTCTGGACTAACTTCCTTTTGAGCCTAAAATTCCAGTTTTAACCCAAACAATGTGTCCATCATAACATACGCCGATCTTATTCTTTTGATTTTTCAGGAAGAGATGTTGAAGCGGCTTGATTTTTGATATGCTGCAGGAAAATGTGAAGTTGATATGGGACAACTGTTGGATTTAAGTCAACAATCTGTGATAAATTTATATATGCTAATAAATAATAAATGCGAATAGAAAAACTCACAGAGTATGAACACAACTAAAATATAAAATGGACAACTTGTAGATCGAGGCTTGCGTACCGCAATGTCCTTGAAACAGAAATTTCGCCCCTACTCAGTGCTTGTAGTTCTCCGGACGTTTGTTTCACCAGGATTCAACGATCAAGTTAGAATTCCAGCACCGGAAAACTTAACTTCTGGAGAATTTCTTTGTGATACTCTCAGTAAGAATGTTATGGATTATAGAAGGAGATTTATATTTTTCTATACTCTAAATGCCATGCAGACGGATGTATATATAGAGGGATTAAGCCTGTTCGCAACAGGTATGGAGAAGAAATGTATATGTTGGAAAGCATCTTCTCAGAAGGGGTGCTTTGCTCTGCGTTCTTTCTGAACTCTCAGACATCATCTGAAAGGATGAACCTTTTCATAAAAATTAAGTTAATTAAATTCGAAATTAATTAAAAATAATTAATTAAAGAATTTAATTTTCAGAGCCCAAGGCCCATCTTTTGTTAATTAAATATATATTAATTATCAATTAATTAGTGCACCTCAAAGCCCAACTTCAAGGGTGAGCCCAATTTTATTCTCCAATGCCTATTACTCCAATTACTTTCTATAAAGTATAAAGCCTTATAAAGTGATGAAAGCTTTTGGGAATGGCCACTGTGGGACAAAGAAATTTATACTCAAATGACTCAAATTTCCAAGAACAACTTCTTATGCTGTGAACCTTTTCTAACATGAAATGGAACTGCAAGTGCATCTCGTAAACTTCTCTATTGGAACAATGACTTACTACATAATTTGTTGTAAACCCCGGTGTTTTTTGGACTTGGTTCCTTCGTCTTAAGTCAAGTTCAGTTTACTTTTTAGATTTGAAACTCTTAGTCGAGCTGATGGCGAGATTTTTTTTTTGTTGGTTGTGCTTGTGGGAATGATTTGCTTTGCTCAATTAGGAGTTTGTCATTACACTGGGATGATGCTTATGAATTTATGATATCAGAATGTTAAATGTTATTTATGTATTACGAAGTAATTGAGGTTTTTCCCTAAAATAATTGATAGTATGCGGAAGAACTCGATTCCTTGCTTATGCAAGGTTGCTTAACCTTTTGATGGAAGACGACAACTTACATAATGTCTTTGAATAAGAAAGATGTAACTACTAGATACCCAGATTTCTACTCACATGTGAACTGAATAATAAACCACATGTTTAATTTAGACATTTCAGTAAACCATTATCTCTTACATCTGATGTTGAGTTGATTTTATTTGTTAATTTTGACGGTACGAGAAAATTTTATTAATATGAAAAATAAAAGTTATACTTGATTAGGGACAAAAACCTTACCTCTTGTAACACAAGAAACAAGGAAGGAACAAAAACTTGACCTCTCCATGAATCTTGAAGAAAATGAATACAAAGAAAACTCGAGGTACAAAGGACCAAAACTTAAAAACACTGCAATAAAGCAACAATCTAAAAACTGAATCCGAAAGTTTACCCTGAGTTGAATTATTCTCTCTAATAATATCTTTTGTATTAGAACAGATTTTTTTTTTGGACAAAGAAACATTCCATTAATGTAAGACAAAGAAACATTCCATTCATGTAAGGGAAAATACAATTTGTGAGAGATAGGCCTAAGTCCAAACAAAACACAAAGCCTTACATAAAACAAAGCAGGACATTAAAGGTAAAACAAACCCAAACCAAGTAGAGCGCCAACCCAAAACACAAAGGGAGGCCCATACATCATTAGGCATGTAGGCAGTAAAAGCAGAAAAGCAACAAAAACCCTAATCTTTAGCATCCAAAAGACCACCGCTGCCGCAGTAACAGCTTCCACCGCAATAAAATCTGTCGCCCCAAAAGAAAAAGAAAACCCGAACCCTAAACTAGATATGAGAGGGTTGTGCAGAATCTATCCACCAAGAAATAAAGCCTCCACATCCACATCTGCAAGAAAGGTCACAAAACGTAACAGGAGGAGGGGGAGGGCAAATGGGGTGTGTAAAACACCCTTGTTCCAAAGAGAATCGTTCCACACTTCGCCCAAATTTTCTGGCAAGCCGGTTCGGCAGTGGGATTGGAGGGTTTGGTCTTGTGTAAAAGAAGAGCCCAAAACTCCAAGATCTAAATCGTGGTTAAGAGTTGGAAAAGAAGAGTGGGGAGGAGGCTAGGAGGAGGAGAGGAGAGGGTGCCACTAGCCCAAGCCGAAGCAAGGGCTAGCGGCGCCATGGACGCTAGGGTTTGGAGCTCTTTCAGAGAGAGAGATTCTAACATTATTTTTTATGTATTATAAAATTAGGATCGTAACTCAGTTGTCAAGAATTTTCGATTCAAATGATTAAAGATGTTTACTTTCCAAATTTTAATATTATGAAAATGTGAATTGGGGTCCACATGAACGTACAAACGTCAGTGGAACTTAAACAATAAAGTAATGGGAAACAAACAATATCACTATCAAATAGCTTCTTTTTTACTTTATAAAGGAATATTGCTATTTACATACTTCTTTTTATTTCTTACATTTTTCTCAATTTTCGATCATCAGATTGAATGAATTAAAAAAAAAATTAAAGGATTGAAATTAACAACGATTGTGTGAGAGGCAAAAATAAATGTATGGGTAACATTATACCTCTAGCAAGGTTTGTCATAGAACAATATGTAGAACCCCCACCAAATTATTGCAGGAAGTGTAGATGGATGGAAATACTAAACAAGTTTATGAGAAATCTGAGTTGCTACAGCAGAGCTCTTGTATTACTTCTTATTGTAACTCTCTTAATACAAAATGATATGCCAAAGGCTATATATATAGTGAATACAAAGTACTAGAGAGTTCAAACTAGAGAGTTCTTCCTAGATAACTTAACAGATATAGGCTAGGAACAATGACTCTAGAATAATTGTTCTTGGGAATGTTTAGAGTCTTAACATTTAGAGTAGTGCATGAATAATTGTTCTTGGGAATGTCTAGAATCTTAACATTTAGGATAGTGCACTAATTCCAACAATTATCGCCAGTAAAAGTTAAAAAGAAAACCCCATCAGCAAGTTATACTTTAGTCACAAAAAGTTGAAGAAGAATAAAAGGTGCAAACTTTGGAATTCCATGTCTATAAAACCTCAAAAGGCAATGCACAGAGTACAGCAGCTCCAATTTGTTATCTTGATCATTTTTTAGTCTCTCAAGTTTCAAGTTTCTATCTGCCTCTCTGGGTAGTGATTTCTAGATAAGCTTCTCTTTCTCTCTACTTATAAAATCCTCCCCATTAATTATTTGATCTTCTTTATATAATAACATTGATTGTTTTATCTGCTCTGTTCCGTGTTCATATCAATCCAAAGCTATGTATTTTGCTTCTGTGTTCATATCAATTCAAAGCTATGTATTTTGCTCCAAGAAAGTGATCAAGAAAATTACCCACTTGAAGAACCCTACCATAATCAGATTTTTACTTTACTAGGCGAACCCTTTTTGTAATTTTTGTACTTGTTCAGAGAGAAATGCGAAGGAGACTCTCGAAAGTGGGACTCTCCATGAACTCTCTACCGCTTCATGTTTTTGGCAACTATGGTAGAGAGTCCTTGGAGAGACAGCACTTTGGGAGAGTCCTTATCATTTCTCTTGTTCCGCATTCGAATGAAAGGTTTCAACTTTCATCATTTTCCCCAGCAACCAAACAAACCAATAAGAATTAACACATCAACAGGCTGGACTTTCTTCAATAAACATGAGAAAGAACACTTGTTCTTGCATAAACAAGAGTACTCTGTTTTAAATCCTCTTTTCTTTTTTATTTTCGGTTGCCCTCACTTTGATCCTTTGGTTTTATAGGCATAAGTGCTAGTTCTACAATGGCTTACGTTCCACCACACAGGCGGCACTCGAAGGAACTGGAGAGGCCATTGGTCACTCCAGAGCTGCTTGCTCCTCAATTCAAGAAAAACTTAAAAGTCAAGCCATTTAATAAAGTGGATGAAAATATAGTTTATGCAGACCATTCTACACATGGATGGTGCGCCATCCCTTTGGATGACGAGAACCAGTTCCCATCTTCTGTTAATCTTGAGCCCGTTACCTTGGAGTCTGTTGAGCTGAATTTTGGAGAAAATCATCTAGCTTTGATCAATACTAGTCTAGATAATGGTTAGATCTTTAATAATTCTTTTTGTGCATGTATCTTGTAAGTTGTTACTTGGGTTATGGATTTGTTTGGCTGATACTTGATAGAAGGCAGTGAGGTGAAATGGAACTTGCCAAGGAGCCCTTGGGAATCTATAACAGAAAATGTGCTGGAAGACTTACTTTCGGCATTTAAACACGCGAGGAATGAAATGAAGTCTGCAAAGCCAAAAGAAGCATATCCAACTTTGATTGCCAGAGTGGGGAAAGTACTCTTTCGCAGGTTAGATTTCCTCCTCATCTAATTCATTGGTTAGCTTTCGAGCCTTTTGTGCCATTCATTAACTTGATTATGTCATGCGATTATTCATTAATTTGTTCTTTTAGTTGCCTCAGGATACTGGTTAAAGTAGAACAAAAAATAGTTATACTATGATAGAAGGTCATATTTTGGCATTTTAGCTTGGAAGATACTGTGCCAAGTTTGGTGGTGAAGTAGGATTATAAAATTCTGCCTTGTTTTTCGATACTTGATACAGATATTTCGGTATTGATGCTTAATCACTGTCAATCATCTCAATTTCACATTAGTTTTGTAACAACGGAAAAGAATCTTGTCCTTCTTCTTAGTTGTACTTGTACATGAGCAGATGAAAGACAATCCTTTGTTGAAATCTTTGTATCAGTTAACATGGAATCTATCAGAAAAAAATCTGTTTAATGAAACCTTGAAACAATGGAGGAAATCGTTTTACACAAACATCCTTGTTTCATATAAGGAAAAGATTTTAAAGCAAGTTGTCTCAAAAGTTGTAGTTAATTTCGAAGAGGAGAAAGATATATACCAAGTAAAGCTATTGAGCCTATTGTTCTTTTAGTTGATCGTTTCATGCGATTATCCTTTTTACCTTTATATTGTTCTTTTATCCGCCTCATAATACTGGTTGAAGTAGAACAAAATAATAGTATAATACTATGGTAAAAGGTTAATTTGGCATTTTAGTTTAGAAGGTAGGATGCCAAGTTGAACAGTGAAGGACTCTAAAACTCTGCCCTTGTTTTTCGATACTTGATAATCATATTTCATATAATTTGTACACGAACGGATGTATACCAATTTTTGTTGAAATCTTTGAATCAGGAACCCTTCAGTTAACTTGGAATCCATTAGAAAAAATTTGTTCACTGAAATCCCGAAACGACGGAGGCAATTATTTTACACGAACACTCCTGTTTCGTATAAGGAAAAGATTGTGAACAAAGTTGTCCCGAAAATTGGAGTTGTTTTCGAAGAGGAGGAAGATATATACGATGTACAGGTATTTCTTTTAGACACGTCAACTTACTGAGTTCTGAGTTCATGTTTTCCAGAATTCTGACTGTAGCTATTGAATTGCTCATTTATTTTCTTCTTGTATAGTTGTCTGATTCTACGAGTCCAGAGTCCACTCTCTTCTGCAGATGTCGGGTAATGAAAGAACATGGAAGGCTACAACTCTGTGAGGCAAGTTTTCCAATTCATGCCAACTAAATTTGATGAAACCATATATGTTGCATCAATATCACAATTGAGTTGCCACATTATTGATTAGATAACTTAGATATAATATTATGCAGCAAAAATATGGGTATTGTATAATAAAACTCAATGTTCAAGCACTGAATGTGATTAAGTTCTCCAATTTTTGGAATAATTTGTGAGGAGCCTTTCCAGATCTTTAATATTTTCCGGACTCTTCCCTCTCTTAATTTTTCCTGTTGATTGGCTTAGGGTTTGTATCCTGAGATTTACATCGAAATGTCAACTTTCTTTCAGATCAAATTGAAACCAGTGCGTAACATGGTAAAGGACATTTCATGCACTACTAAGAATCTGGACCTGAGACTAATGCTGTGCACAAAGAAACTCGTAACTGATCTGACTGTAAGCTGCTTCACCCAGTCCTTTAAAATTTACATTTCTATTCCTTGTTTCAGCAAATATATTAATTTTGACCTTTATATATCTTCAAGCCACAATCAAACAAATAATATAACGTTTCTAGAAATGTAACGGGATGATGTGGGTTAACCATACTGGATCCCTGGCTGAACTTATGCTTCTTTGAATGAAGTTTCGTGATCATATTAATTGTTGCTATTTCAGAATGATGAGATGCAAAGCATCACGGATCTGATTAATTCTGCGATTCTAGATCCAGATGTGAAGGGTGGATTGAGGTGGCCCCCGGGGAAGGAGTCTTCAGGAGAAAAATACACAGTTGTTAGGTTTACGCACGTAATAGTTAATACGTATAGAAATTCATCACTGAGACTGAAAGTAAAACACTATGATCGATTTGATTTGAGAACCTTAACTGGGGAAGCTTCTTGGGGGACAAGTCTGGTGCTGGAAAACGTCGTGTCAAAGTTACAGGTAAAGGCTGCCTTTTCTCTCGGACAATTTTTTAGTTCATGTGCTGAAATAAAAATTTGTTTGAGAAACTTTGTCGTGCGCTGAAATCTCGTGATGTTTCAATTGACAGGAAGAGAATGTCAAGGCCAGCACAATTTCTGAGATACTCAAGGAAGATATGCAGTTGATATGGGAAAACTTCTTGAGCTGTGAACCTTTTCTATCAAGAAATTGCATGTTGTAAATCAGTGATCACTGTCTGTGCGACGTGTGTATATCTGTCTACATCCTTAGTTTTATATTCTACTCTCGGCGTCGTGTGATTAATAATTAGTAACTGTTTTAGCATTTCTTGCAATTTTGTTTGTATCTGGCATCGTTGATGGTTAATTAAATTTTTAAGATTTTACATTTCGATGACTTCATTGCCAGTAAATGCTTCGGCTCACGTGCTTTCTTACAACCAAGATGGTTAATGAAAATTTTTAAGTTTCTTTTTGCCTTCCGTCCCACACCACAAGAGGCAGTTAAAGGAAAAGGAATTTTGATACATGATTATGCAAACACATTGGTAATAGGTGGAGTATATATACTCTCGAGGTTCTGTAGTAACTTCTACTAATCTAATGCAAGGTCTTTTAACTTTCTGAACATCACATGTTAAATATCCAAATGTCTATACATTAATTGTCCTTTGGGTTTTTGACATTTTGATGGAGAAGATGAAGGATTTTTTCTTCGTATTGATTTGTTGTCAGAGAAGAAGGGTTTTCTTTAATAATGAATACCCATTTTTTAATTGGCTTTTCATTCACGTGGCACAAATTTTGTGGGGCTGCCACGTTCACACAGGCAGATAATGGGGAAACTAATATAAATTGATACATATATATATATATATATATATATATATATATGACATTTGTACGAAATCATGAGTCGCCTTATAAAATTGAAAAAATTGAAAAATGTACGAATTTGAAATTGGACGAAGGAGACAACATATAAAATGAGTTAGATAATAAATGAGTGAGATCATTTGCATCCCAAATTTCTGGCCCAATGAACTCCAAAAATGGCTTTTGAGTTGTAAAGTGAGCATTTCAAGATAATTTTCAACTCTCATTGGAGATGCTTTAAGATTAAATAGAAATAGAATCTCAATTGCACAAAGCTAATTTTAGTCTTTATTAAAGCCCTCCAGTAAGGGTCATTTAGTACTACAGTTTGATGATATTTCTCTTCACTAGTAAGTGTAAGTGAAAGGTATTAGGCTCGATTCATACAAAAGGCGAATTTGAATCACATTATTATACCAAAGGCGAATTAGCCTACTCCGTCACCCTTAAGTGTAGATAATATTGTTTGAACCATATTATTATAGCAAGCTCATTAATTGTGAGGCTTAATTTTCCAATTGAAAAGTTTAGGGGGAAATCAAAAGTTTAGTAAAAGTTCAGGAGGAAAATCGGCAATTTACTCTCTTGAATATATTAAATCTCTCTCCTTTGTTCCTTGTCCTTGTATAGTTGTCTGACTCTAGACGACCAAAATCAATCATCACTTGCAAATGCAGTGTAGCAAAAGAACATGGAAAGCTACAAATCTACAAGGCAAGTTTTTAAGTTCATACCATGTGAATATGTAGTTTATTTATTGCAAAATCACGCACTGTTGTGTGTGTTCTTTTTTTTTTTTTTTTGTTTAGTGAGACTTACATCAAATGGACATTTTCTTTTAGATGGAGCTGGATCAACTGCGTAACATGGTCACGAACATATGATGACTTAATAAGAATTTGGACCTCAGACTCATGCTATGCACGAACAAGATCGTAACAGCTTTCGCTATAAGTTACTACACCTGGAAAGCTATTGAGAATTTTTATTTTATTCTCCGTTGATTAAAATTTTTGGTGTGTCCAGGATGATGAGATTCAAAGCATTAGGGATGTAATTAGTTTAGCGATTCTGGATTCAAATGTGAAGGGAGGGTTGATATGGCCCCTAGGGAAGGCGTTTTCTGGAGGCCGGTATAATGTAGTTGTAATTTGGCATACAATTACCACTAATGAAAATCCATCTCTAAAACTGAAGTTAAGGCATGCGAATAGTTTCGATTTTACCACCTCAGCTGGTGAGACTGGTTGGGAGGTCAGGCTGTTTCTGAAAATGCTCATTTCAAAGTTACAGGTAAGTCTGGTAGTTTTCGCTCCCAATCAAACATCTTTATGTAATGTACCAAGAAAGATCTATTATGTGTTAATGGTAACATAACGTCGATCTTATTCTTTCAAATTTTCAGGAAGAGAATGTTGAAGTCGGCTTGATTTCTGACACACCCTGACCTTGATGTCCGGGGGACAACAGGATGACCACGTGTTGGCCGACACCTAAGGGTGACGCAAGTCATTTAATGAATGCATACGCTGAGAATATGTGAATCATGCATATACATTTCGCGCGTAACTATGCAAAGAAATATTTGAATACAATCTTACCAAAATAATATTCATTCGTCTATAAAATGATAGTGATAATGCATGACATGTTCAGAGAATACATCTAATTCAGAATACAAGTGGAAGGTGCTATTACAAGTGAAGTCAAAACAGAGAATATGATGTGGTATCACTGGTAAGGCAATGCCTCGTAGTTCGGATCGTATGCCTTGTTCCTATGTCCTGAGGGGGCACAAAACAAACATGAGTGGACCAAGTTGATATATATAATACTGAAACAATTATTCATCAACATACTAACCCCAAAGTTTTATGAAAACTCAATAGTATAATATGTAATAGGTTTTCCCGAAAACCCTAGCATGCCATAAAACCTTTGTAAAACATATGTTATATATAGCGTGCTAAATAGTGGTATCAGTGTCGCCGAAGGCATAGAGAACTCTTCATTCGCCTGAAGGCATATAGAACATTTCATTCGCCCGAAGGCATATATAGCACTTCATTCGCCCGAAAGCCTTCATTCGCCCGTAGGCTCCTACAACACCCACCCGAAAGCATATAAGTATCAATTGCCCGTAGGCTCCTATTGCACCCACCCAAAGGCATATGTATAGTGACCACTAAATAAGCACAAAAATCGTTGAGTATAATCTTTCTAACATAAGTACATATATCTCAACGAAGCTCAGTAGCTCAAACATCATATCTCAAAAAATCTTCATAGTATATAGTCATCCATCATATATACTACAAAGCACATGAAAATCGATAAAGTATGGTATTCTAAAATATTCTTAGTAAAGCATGATATTTCATATAGTGCAAATCTAATATACTCATAAACGTTTCATTAAATCATGTTTTTCATGTATGCATTTCTAATAGTAAAATATGCATTTTAGAAGGGGTCCACTCACAGATACTCCGTCGTCGAAGAGCCGTGCTAAATAGGAAGAATGGAATCGCCTCTAATAATCGCACCTAAGCACATAAATGTTCCAATTTATAAAACTCTACCATAACGATTGAATTTTAGAAAACGGACATCATAAACGGATTCAGGACGTCGAAAAACATAAGGGGGGACCTCGATTACCCCCACACACCGCTGTAAGGTGGCGGCTCAGACGGCCACGTGCCGCTATGGGTCGCTGGAAAAGTCGTTGGCGCTGTGGACAGTGGCTCGTATGCTCCACGCGCCAACACTAACAGCCCTTCACACGCGCCCACAGGCAGTCTCACGCGCGGCCCACACGCTGGCTGGGCTCAGGGTTTAGGCTTCTGGGCTTGGGCCGGGCGCAATTGGTTTTGGGTTAGTTCTTGGGATTAGGTTAAGAGGGTTTAGGCCGAGTCATCACGTCCCAAAGGCCTTGTTTCATCATGTCCCAAATGCCCGAGTCATCACGTCCCAAAGGCCTTGTTTCATTTGGGTTTTGGGTTGAGTTTGGTTTGGGCTCAAGGGTTACCGGGTTTGGGTCATTTCGACCTGGTTTCGACGGAAGGGAAGGCCGGAGCTTCCCGAGCTCCGTTCAATGCCGATTCTCAACCCTAGGGTGTGATCTAGCTATCAAATTGAAGCTTAAGAGGAGAGGAAGAGTTTTGTACCTTAAACGAGTCGTGTGGTGGCTAGAGTTTGGCTCAAAGGCCACTGGGCTCGCCGGGGAAGTTTGTTGGGTTTCCTGGGCTTCACAGAGGCAGAGGGAGAGAGAGACTCAACACAGGGAGGTGTGGAAGTGTCGTCGTCGTCATTGCTTTCCTCGATTTGGGTGTGTGTTACATCAGGGAGAAGGAGAGTGTCTGTGTGAAAGTGAGTGAGTGAGCTGAGAGAGAGCTCGGGGGAGGGAAGAGAGAAGGAGATAGGAGGTGGGGGTGGTGCTGGGTGGTGCCACGTGGCAAACATAGAGAGTGGGAGAGTTATAAAATAATAACAAAAAAATAAAAAAAGGGATGGGGGATCCGGATAAGGTAAAAGGATAAGGGGCATAATGGTAATTTTCTAATTCCGTTAATATGAAATTACACATAATTTGGGACGGGGTTTCCCAACATGTCGTAGACTTCTCTATTGGAACAATGACTCACTACATAATTTGTGTTCAGTTAACTTTTTTTTTTGTTGGAGCGATTCTTAAGTGCTTGTGGGAATGATTTGCTTTGCTCAATTAGGATTTTGACACTGTGGGATGATGGTTATGAATTTATGATATCAGAATGCTAAATTTTATTTATGTATTACAAAGAAAGTTGAGATTTTATCCTAAAGTTAATTGACAGCATGTGGGAAAACACAATTCCTTATAAGCTTATGCAAGGTTGCTTAACCTTTTGATGGAAGACAACAACTTGCATTACAGTGTATTGTCTTTGAATAAGAAAAGATGTAACTACTGGATACTCAGATTTCTACTCACATGTGAACTGAATAATAATCCAAATGTTTAATTTAAACAATTAATTAAATCATTATCCCTTATATTTTAGGTCTTAAGTTGCTTTTTTTTTAACCTTGATGGTACGAGAAAATTTTATTGATATAAAAAATAAAAGTTATACTTGATCAGGGACAAAAACCTTGCCTCTCCTTGCAAGAAACAAGGAGAGAACAAAAACTTGACCTCTCCATGAATCTTGAAGAAAATGAATACAAAAAAAGATGGGTTATAATTTATAAAGGACCAAAACCTCTCTGAAACGAAACTTAAAAACACTGTAACAAAGCAACAATCTAAAAACTGAATCACAGAGAGATTACCTTGAGTTGAATTATTCTCTCTAATAGTATCTCTTGTATTAAAAAATTATAACATTCTTTTTTCTGCATTTTAAAATTAGGATGGTAACTCAATTGCCAAAAATTTCCAATTCAAATGATTAAAGATGTTTATTTTCCAAATTTTAATATATGAAAACGTGACTTGAGGACCATATGGACCTACAAACGTCAGTGGAAGTTAAACAATAAAGTAATGGGAAACAAACAATTTTACTATCATAAAGCTTCTTTTTCACTTTTTTTACTTTATAAAAAGTGTGGTGCTATTTACCATCAAAAAACTTCTTTTTCTTCAATGGCCTACTTTAATTTTCACTTTCTTTTTAATTTTTAATTGTTAAACTGAATAAATTGAAAGAAAAAAAAAATTAAAGAATTGAAATTTACAAGTGTGTGAGGTAAAAATAAAATGTGGATAACATTATCCCTACGAAGTTATCGCTAGTAAAAGTAAAAAAGAAACCCCATCAGCAAGTTATACTTTTGTCACAAAAAGTTATAGAAGAAAAGGTCCAAACTTTCGAATTCCATGTCTACAAAACCTCACAAGGCAATGCAGAGAGTAATGCTACTCCAATTTGTTATCTTAATCATTTTTTGGTCTCTCAAGCTTTCAAGTTTCTATCTGCCTTTCTGGGTAAGCTTCTCTCTCTCTCTCTCTCTCTCTCTCTCTCTCTCTCTCTCTCTCTCTCTCTCTCTACTTATAAAATCCTCCCCATTAATTATTTGATCTTCTTTATATAGTAACTTTGAATGTTTTATCTGCACTGTTCTGTGTTCATATCAATTCGAAGCTATGTATTTTGCTACACGAAAGTGATCAAAATAATTACCCAGTTGAAGAACCCTACCATAATCAGATTCTCACTTTACTAGGCGAACCCTTTTTGTAATTGTTCCGAGAGAAATGCTAAATAGACTCTTAAAAGTGGTACTCTCCGTGGACTGTCTGCCACTTCATATTTTTGGCACGAGTATTAACTATAAACTGAGATGGCAGAGTGTCTATGGAGAGTCAGCACTTGGAGAGAGTCTCCTTAGCATTTCTCTTGTTCCAAATTCAAACGAAAGATTTCAACTTTCTTCATTTTCCTCAGAAACCAAACAAACCAATAAGAATTAACACTTCAACAGGCTGGACTTTCTTCAATAAACATGAGTCGTCTGTTTTAAATCCTCTTTTTCTTTTTATTTTCGGCTGCCCTCACTTTGATCCTTTGTGTTTATAGGCATAAGTGCTAGTTCTACAATGGCTTACGTTCCACCACACAGGCGGCACTCGAAGGAATCGGAGAGGCCGTTGCCAACTCCAGAGCTGCTTGCTCCTCAATTCAAGAAAAACTCAAATGACAAGCAATATAATAAGTCTAATGTGGGTTGGAGTGGAAAAGTAGTTTATGCAGACAATTCTACTCATAGATGGTGCGCCATCCCTTTGGATGACGAGAACCAGTTTCCATCTTTTGTTAATCTTGAGCCCGTTGCCTTGGAGTCTGCTGAGCAGACAATTGGAAAAAATCGTGTAGCTCTGATCAATACTAGTCTAAATAATGGTTAGAACTTCAATATTACTTTTAGTGCGTTTATCTTATAAGTTTTTACTTGGGTTATGGATTTGTTTGGCTGATACTTGACAGAAGGCAGTGAGGTGAAATGGAACTTGCCAAGGAGCCCTTGGGAATCTATAACAGAAAACGTGCTCGAAGACTTACTTTCGGCATTTAAAGACATGAGGAATGAAATGAAGTCTGCGAAGTCCAAAGAAGAATATCCAACTTTGGTTGCCAAAGTGGGGAAAGTACTCTTTCACAGGTTAGATTTCCTCCTTACCTAATCCATTGGTTAGCTTTCGAGCCTTTTGTGCCATTCATTAATTTGATTGTGTCATGCTAATATTTATCAATTTGTTCTTTTAGCTGCCTCAGAATACTGGTTAAAGTAGAAGAAAGGAATAGTCTATAGTCTATACTATGATAAAAGGTCATATTTTGGCATTTTAGCTTAAGAAGATACGGTGCCAAGTTGGACGGTGAAGTAGGATTATAAATTTCTGCCCTTGTTTTTCGATACTTGATACAGTTATATTTCGGTATTGATGCTTAATCACTGTCAATCATCCCATATTTCGCATAAGTTTTGTAACAACGGAAAAGAATGTTGCACTACTCCTTTGTTGTACATGAGCAGATGAAAGACACTTTTTGTTGAAATCTTCGTAACAGGAGCCCTTCAGTTAACATGGAATATATCAGAAAAAAATTTGTCTACTGAAACCTTGAAACAATGGAGGAAATCATTTTACACAAACATCCCTGTTTCATATAAGGAAAAGATTGTAAAGGGAGTAGTCCCAAAAGTTGGAGTTGATTTCAAAGAGGAGAAAGATACATGGCTGTTGGGCCATTCATTTAGTTGATTGTTTCATGCGATTATCCTTTTTACCTTTATGTTTTTCTTTTATCCGCCTCAGAATACTGGTTGAAGTAGAACAAAATAATAATGTATACTATGATAAAAGTTTACATTTGGCATTTTAGCTTAGAAGGTAGGATGCAATATTATTTTGGTATGGATGCTTAATTACCGTCAATCATCTCATATTTCATATAATTTGTACACGAATAGATGTATAACAATTTTTGTTGAATTCTTTGAATCAGGAGCCCTTCAGTTAACGGGGCATCCATCAGAAAAGAATTGTGCACTGAAATCTTGAAACAATGGCGGCGATCATTTTACACAAACACTCCTGTTTCATATAAGGAAAGGATTGTCAACGAAGTTGTCCCAAAAATTGGAGTTGATTTCAAAGATGAAGAAGATATATACGAAGTACAGGTATTTCTGTTAGACACGTCAACTTACTGAGTTCTGAGTTCATGTTTTCCACAATTCTGACTGTAGCTATTGAATTGCTCATTTATTTTCTTCTTGTATAGTTGTCTGATTCTACGAAGCCAGATTTACCTTTCTCCTGCAAATGTCGGGTAATGGAAGAACATGGAAAGCTACAACCCTGCACGGCAAGTTTTCCAATTCATTCTAACTAAATTTGATGAAACCATATATGTTGCATCAATATCACGATTGAGTTGCCACGATATCGATTAGATAATTGAGATGTAACATATTATGCTGGAAAATATGAGTGTTGTATAAGAAAACTAAATGTTCAACCGCTGAATGTGATTAAGCTCTCCAATTTTTGGAATAATTTACGAGGAGCCTTTCCAGATCATTAATATCCTGAGACTTCCATCGAAATGGCAACTTTCTTAATTTTCCCTGTTGTTTGGCGTAAGGTTTGTATCCTGAGCATCGGCTGAGACTTACATCGAAATGTCAACTTTCTTTCAGATCAAATTCAATCCAGTGCGTAACATGGTAATGGACATTTCATGCACTACTAAGAATCTGGACCTGAGGTTAATGCTATGCACGAAGAAACTCGTAACTGATCTGACTGTAAGCTGCTTCACCCAGTCCTTTAGAAATTTACATTTCTATTCCTTGTTTCAGCAAAGATATTAAATATGACCTATATTTATCCTCAAGCCACAATCAAAACAAAGAATAGAAGCTTTTGTAGATATATAACGGGACGATCATGTGGGTTAACCATACTGGATCCCTGGCTGAACTTATGCTTCTTGGAATGAAGGTTCGTGATCATATTAACTGTTGCTATTTCAGGATGATGAGATGCAAAGCATTACGGATCTGATTAATTCTGCAATTCTAGATCCAAATGTGAAGGGTGGATTGAGATGGCCCCTGGGGAAGGAGTCTTCTGGAGATAGATACAGAGTTGTTAGGGTTTGGCACGTAATAGCTAATACGTATAGAAATTCATCACTGACTCTGAAAGTGAAACACACTGATCGATTTGATTTTAGAACCTTAACTGGAGAAACTTCTTGGTGGACAAGTCTGGTGCTGGAAAACGTCGTGTCAAAGTTACAGGTAAACGCTGCCTTTTCTCTGGGACAATTTCTTTTAGTTCATGGGCTGAAATAAAAGATTTGTTTGAGAAGGTTTATCATGTGCTGAAATCTCCTTTTCTTTCAATTTTCAGGAAGAGAATGTGGAAGCCAGCACAATTTCTGAGATACTCAAGGAAGATATGCAGTTGATATGGGAAAACTTCTTGAGCTGTGAACCTTTTCTAACATGAAATTGCATGTTGATCAGTGATCACTGTCTATGCGACGTGTATTTATCTGTCTACATTATGAATTTTAAGTTCAACTTTCGGCATCGTTTGATGAATAATTAGTAACTGATTTAATATTTCTAGCATTTCTGTTTGTATCTGACATTGTTGATGGTTAAATAATGGGAAATTGCTAAAGACAACACAATTTTTCTCTAGGGCAAATCTCTAGATAGGGTTTAGGTGTGGACGACACAGCGTATCAGATACATGAAGGCTGAGTTTCTCTGAGAAATGCACCCTTCAGCTGATCTGATCCAAACCGGCGGCATCAGCTAGTGCTTTGCCGCACTAGTTCACCTGCTTTTCGATCCCGGCGCCCCGAGCTATTCTCAGGTATTACAGTTCGCTTGCTTGGTTGTTGTGCCTTGTACCTGTTCGACGAATTGCCCCAGAGAATCTGAAATTCTGTATTTTCTGGGTGCCCAAGGATTTTCTGCGTTCACCACAAAACTGTTGCTTGATATCAAAAGGCATCAATTTGCTTTATGGTGTTGACAATTCAAAACTGAATTATCATGGGCACAAATAGTGTTTGTCCATGGGGCTTCCAACTTCCGACTCCAGTTGTGCGTGGCGACAAAACATATGTCAAAATTAGCGAGGATCTATACCAAGAACAGTTGAAGTTGTTTCAAAATAATCTCCTTGGACGTTTGCTCCTCAAAAACGGTTCTACGACAATAAAAACCGGTGCTATAAAATCTTGTTTAGAAGATGCATGGCACCCTACTGCATCATGAAACCTTGTTCCTATAGGTAAAGGCTATTTTGATATCCATTTCAATAAGGAAGATGATATGCGATGGGCATGGGGTGGCGGTACGTGTACTCTCGCTATTGGTTTATTCAAGTTATCGAAATGGGTGCCAAATTTTCAACCAAATGACATTCTCTCTCAAACTTATGCTCAGGTATGGATTAATTTTTTTGGTTTGAGTCAGGAATATTAGCATCCTAGACACTTGATGGAAATTGCGAGAGGGGTTGGCATTCCCTTGCAACTAGATATAGCTACAAGGGAAAGGTAATATGGTTATTATGCACGTTTATTAGTTGATGTCAATCTTGTAGATGATTTACCTACATCCCTTATGGTTGAAAGAGAAAGTCATGGCTTCCCAGTTGAGGTGGTTTATGAAAATTTACCGCGTAAATGTAGTCACTATGGTTTGATAGGGCATTTGGTTAATAGTTGCAAACAACTTAAACAAATGATGAGAGGTTGTTCTCGTAGCCGGACGCGGAAGGATAGTAACATGAGGGACAACAAAACCGGAGACCACTCTCGGAGTCAACTGCACATGGAATATCATCCCAAAAAGGATACGGCAATACCAGTTAATGTTTTATGTGGGTACAACGCCAATTGTCTCTGATAATGATAATAATGTCATACTAACTCCTAATAATGCCCATACTCTCATAAACCAAGTTCTTGCACAGGTGGTCGATGAGGCCTTAGGGACCATTGCCCAAGCTATGGTTAATTCTGAAAATGAAGAACATGGTATCCAATCCCTTAGGACATCTCATATTAGCAACTCTACGACCAGATCGTTGTCATCAGATGTATCACTTTCTCATAATAGTCATTCTTATGGTCAGCATTTGGGCAACACTGATGTCCCAAATAATTTTGGCCCGAAGGATCTTCATGACGACTCTAGCATTCCTCCTAGGTTTGAACATGTTGCGACATTATCTAAGGATGTCATCGATATTGTTAATCACATAGATGGTTGTGATAAGGATGGTTTTACTCTTGTGTTATCTAACAGTAAAAAAAAACAAAAAACAAAAGCAGGTTGCTAAGCTTAACCAGCCCTCTGATAAACCCTATCCGAGTAGGGTCCGTGGAATACCATCTTGTTATAAATGAAGATTCTTTTCTGGAATATCCGTGGCATTGGTAATGATGACTCTCAGGCGGAACTCTGTCGGTTGCATCACCCATTGTGGAGCCCATGGTGACTTTTAATTCTATTTCAGCTGCTTATTGAGATTCTTTAAATTTATTTGATCTTACTTTTAATTCTAGAGGAACTTTTACTCCCAATCTTTGGTTACTAACATTTTCGACTTGTGCAGACCCTTTAGTTATTTCTATATCTGATCAATATGTTACTGTTCGATGTACTTTTGATCATATCCTAAGTCAGTTCACCTTTGTTTATGCAAGCCCTTCATCTATCAAAAGAAGAGACCTATGGGTTGACTTTATTACTCTGTGCTCACAAACACAAGTTCCATGGATGGCTATTGGCGATTTCAATGCTATCCTGGGTTCTCACGAGCAGATAGGATGAGGCAGACCATCTTAAACTTCTTGCGCTGAGTTTAGTAACATGTCTAACTCTTGTAACTTTACGCACTTGAACACTTCTGGGGTAGCTTTTACATGGTCTAATGGTTGGAGGTTTTGTGGTCGCACTGAAATAAGGTTTGATCATTCTTTGTGTGATATAAGTTGGTTTGATTCTTAGCCTCACTCTAAATGCATAGCGTTGCCAAAGATAGTCTCAGATCATAACCCTCTTATCTTTTCTGGTTCAAGAGTTTTAAGTAGTGGTCATCGTCCTTTCCGTTTTCAATCAATGTGGGTTCAACATTCATCTTTTTGAGAAACTGTAACTCAATGTTGGAGGAATACAGTTGCATATGGTTGTTCTATGTTTGTCATTCTGCAAAAATTAAAAGCTCTAAAAATCTGTTTGCGCCAATGGAACTTTTCAATTTTTGGTGATGTCTATAATAAAGTGGCTGATGCTCGGCATGAACTCTCTATGATTCAACAGAGAATTTCAACTGAGGGTATCAATAATGATCTTTTCAAAGAGGAGATTGTTACCAAGACTACAGTAATGGAGTCTCTTAAAATGCAGGAGGCCTTTTGGAAAGATAGAGCTCGTGTTAAGTGGTTGACTGAAGGGGATAGAAATTCTTCTTTCTTTCATGCCTATGCTTGTATTAAATCATCCAGCTCTTGTATTAGTTGTATTCTTGATAGAGATAACCTTCTTACTAATCTACAGGCAATTGAGAACCATATTGTTAATTTCTATTAGACTTTGTTTGGTTCTTCTTTCATGTATTGATGAGGTTTGTGAGGTCATTCAGCCAATGGTCACTGATTTTGAAAATGATCTTTTATCTGCATTACCTACGGATAAGGAAATTAAGGAGGCAATTTTCTCTTTAAGTGCTTATAGTGTGCTCGGGCCAGATGGTTTTCCAGGTTTTTTCTATCACCATTGTTGGGATATTGTTGGCTTTGATGTTATTCAATTTGTGAAGCAATTCTTTCAATTGAATTGGTTATACCCTAATGCCAACAGTAATTTCTTGGTTCTGATACCAAAGGTGGAAGACGCTATTTCCATTACCTAATTTAGACCTATTGCTTTGGAAAATTTTCTTTTCAAGATTATTCCCAAAATTTTGGCAGTTTGTCTTTCTCATGTTGTTCAACACATTATTTCTCCTCAATAAGCTGCTTTTATACCTAGGCGACGTATCACAGATTGTATTTTTCTTGTTTCAAAATGTTTCAATGTGCTTGACAAAAAATCTCATGGTGGTAATATGGGAGTTAAAGTTGATATAGCTAAGGCTTTTGATACTTTAGATTGGTCCTTTCTATTGCGGGTGCTTACTAACTTTCGGTTTTCCACTTGTTTTATGGACTGGGTTTCTACTATCTTAAGATCTGCCAAAATTGTCCATCTTAATCAATGGTTCCCGGCATGGTTTTTTCTCTTGTTCGTGAGGAGTGCACCAAGGGGATCCTTTCTCTCCGTTACTTTTCTGTCTAGCTAAGGAGGCTCTATCAATGGGTCTGAGTCGTCTCCAACTTGATGGGCTTACTAAGCCAATTTTTACCCCAAGAGGTTGTATCTCTCCTTCTCATGTTCTCTATGCAGATGACTTATTCATTTTTTGTAGAAGTAATGGTATCACATTGCTTAATTTGCGAGGTTTTTTCGATAGATATAGTAGGGCCTCTGGTCAATTTATCAATAAGGCAAAAAGTACTTCTACTTGGGCTCCACTTCAAGGCACCGAAAAGTTGTGGTTTAGAGTTACTTGGGATTCAAAGAAGGCAAAGTACCATTTGTCTATTTAGGAGTTCCAATCTTTTGTGGCAAGCCTAAGAAGTGTCATCTTCAAGCCTTGGCAAATAAAGCTAAAGCTAGTTAACAGGTTAGAAGGGGAAACTTTTATCTATGGCAGGAAGAATTCAACTCATTCAATCAAATTTTTAGAGTATGCTTCTGCATAGTTTTTCTGTTTATCAGTGGCCTTCTTCCTTGTTGAGGTCTTTTTCGCGATGTGCTCGCAACTTTATATGGTTTGGTGATGTGACCTCCAAGAAGATTGTTACCGTTTCTTGGCATCAAATATATGCTCCGAATAATGAGGGTGGTTTGGATTGTGTGATCTTTGCTCTCTTAATACTACAACTCTCTTAAAGCTTGGATGAGTTATTATTACTTCTGATTCTTTGGAGTGTATATTTTCGAGAATGATTCCAGCTACATGGTCATTTATATTCTTGTAGTTACAAGCGATCTTCTATATGGCCTGGTATTAAATCCATTCTTCGTATCATGTTTCAGAATTGTCGTTGGGTGAATGGAAATGGTTTTAGTACTTCTCTTTGGGTTGATAAATGGTTGGATACGCCTATTGTGAACGTCGTTGGTGCAACTGAGATTGCTCATTCTCTATCTTGTACTAGGGTCTCAAAAATTATTCGTATGGGAAAATAGGTTATTCCTTCTATTTTTTTCTTTTACTTTTCCAGACCTAGCTAAAGAGATTTTAGAAATGCCTTTTCCAATTGATAAGGACAAGGACGTGTTAATTTGGGAAGCTTCTACATCTTGAGTCTTTTCGTTTTTTTATGGCTATGAAATTGTTCGTCATCGATTTCCTGTTAAGAATTGGGCTTCTATTATTTGGCATCATTTCATTCCACCTCGCTACTCTATTTTAGTTTAGAAAATTCTTTTCAAAAAGCTCCCAATGGAGGATCAACTTCAGCAACAGGGCATTCTGCTGGTTCCAATATGCCAACTATGTTACAAGAATTCTGAATCTGTTGACCACTTATTTTTTAGTTGTGAATTTGCACAACATGCTTGGTGTTGGCTAGCTACCCAATTTGGCACTACTTTTCCACCTACGAGCTCTTTTTCTGATTTATGGCTTGCTTTTGTGTCAAAGAGGTTTTCTTCACAATTTAACAATGTTTGGCTAGCTTCAGGGTTTTTCTTGCTAATGGCTATTTGGAAGATACGTAACAAAGTGAAGTTTGAATGTAAACCCCCTTCCTTCTCATGCATTTGCCGTTCCACCTCAGCTTGGATTAGGCAGGTTGGAGTTCTTACCCCTGGTCATGTACGAGGCATTTTGGATAGGCAACTTTTAGTCTCTCTTGGAATCTCGGCTAAGTCTTGTAAAACTCTTTCAATAATCCCTGTTCTTTGGCATCCCCCTTCTTTTTGTTGAGTCAAAGTGAATATTGATGGCCTGCTAAAGGTAACCCGAGTCATGCGGCTTGTGGCGGGGTTTTCCGAGATTCTACGGGCTATTTTCTTTGTGGTTTCTCCCTAAGCTTGAGGCATCGTACTTCTTTCTATGCGGAGCTCCATGTTGTCATCCTTGATGTGGAATTGGCTCACGTGCGGGGTTGGCAAAATATATGGCTTGAAAGTAACTCTTCTAGCGCGATATCCTGTTTTGCTTCTAGGCATTTCTCTCCTCCTTGGTCGCTTCAGACACGTTGGAACAATTGTATTCTATGATTGCAAAACATGGTTTTTCGTTGCTCTTATACATTTCGATAAGGGAATGATGTTGCTGAAAAATTAGCCAATTTAGGGCTTCTCTCATCTTCACTTGTTTGGCATTCCGCTCCTCCTATAGAGATTCTTCCTCTTCTGCACTCAGATTTCTTGGGCATGCCAGCCTACAGATTTGTCTCCCCTTCTTGATGTGTGATTTCCTTTTTTACCTAATCTTTTTGGATTTCCTTTTTTGTTTTGCAGCTTGTCTTGCAGGTTCTTACCTTTAAAAAAAAACAACCGTTTGTTGCTTCATTGTAAAACTATGTAGTCGTATTTAAGTGCTTATTGGGAGTGATTTGCTTTGCTTAATTAGGATGTTAACTTTTGCTTGAGTATGTATCATTTAGGTTCTACCCTAAAGTCCTTAATTGATAATAGTTGGAGTGTGTGTGTGTGTACACACGCACTTGAGGTTCTACTCTAACTTCTACTAAGCTAATGCAAAGTCTTTTAACTTTCTAATGATGGACAATATTCAATATCACACATTAAAGATCCAAATGTTTATACATTAATCTGTCCTTTGGTTTTTTAACTTTTTAATGGCGAAGATAAAGTGTTTTCTTCTTCATATTGATTTGTTGTCGGAGAATAAGCGTTTCCTTCAAATTGATTTTCTTTAATAATGAATATCCATTTTCTAAACAAAAATGCTACTTTTATCATATATTTATATCACCTCTAACAGAGATGAGACCCCATGCATTAGAGAGATGGTACAAATAAGTGGTAAGTATAACATTACTCTTTTATAAATTGTTTTTTATTCATGTGGCACTGATTTTGTGTGGCCTGCGACATCCACATGGGTAGATAACAGAGAAAATAACAGAAATTGATACATATGTATAATTATGAAATCATGAGCCATTGTATGAAATTGAAAAATGTAATTTTATTCTTTACTTGTAAGTAAGATGTTTTAGGTTCAAATCTCGTAGATGTCAAATTCGAAACCAAATTAAGTTGCCCATTAGGTTTAACCAAACTCTCCTCCCGTGTGTAATTTTATTCTTTATTAAAATCCTCCAGCGAGGTTAATTAGCAAAAAGATAAAGAAAACGCCCTCCGGCAAGGTTTGTCACAAAAAAAAAATAAATAAATAAATACAACCCTCCATCAAGTTGTCTCTAAAAAGTAAACAAAACGCCCTCCGGCAAGATTTGTCACAAAAAAAAAAAAAAAAGATATAACCCTCCATCAAGTTGTCTCTATACGGAAAAGAAAAAGAAAAAAAACCCCTCCAGCAAGTTGTCTCTAAAAAGTAAAGAAAAACCCCTCTCGCAAGTTATTTTATCTATTTTTTTGTGTACATTCTGAATTATTTTTTAGTTAGAGATAACTCGATTTTGTAACAACGTCATCACTTGTAATTTGTAAACCTATATAATCAACGTGAAGCCTCGCTCATTATTCATTGAGCATTCATCCTGAACTTTACTGAGCGTTCTTTTATGGTATTCACGAGCTAAAGTCTTACCACATCATTTGCATTTCTTTTTTTTTTTTTTTTCAAATGGCGTATAATTCTTCCAGCTCTTCCACCTCCATTCCTCTCCCTACCCTACCTGATGTTTCCACCTTCCTTAAGATTAAACTTGACCCTACCAATTACCCTCTCTGGCAAGTCCCGATGCTTACCTTGCTTCGTAGCAGGAATCTCGTCTCCTATGTTGATGGCACTAGCAAATGTCCTCCTGCCTTTCTCAAAGATGATGAGGGCATTTTTACTGATACTGTGAATCCGGAGTTTGAAGCATGGATTCAACAAGATGCTATGGTTATGTCCTGGATCAAGAGCTCTGTTCATCCCACTGTGTTGGGTGCCCTAATCGGGAAAACCAGTTCTCATTCTGCATGGATCTGTCTGCGCGAACGCTATGATTTGCAGTCCACTGGCCGTCTTCTTCAACTTCGCAGTGAGCTGATGAACACCCACCGTGGTGACTCCTCCATTGCTGAGTTTCTCGGTCGTGTCAATTGCCTCGCTGAGACTCTCTCCTTATCCGGTGCTCCTGTTTCTGAGTCAGATATTGTTGCCATTGTTCTCAACAATGTTGGTCCTGCATATGAAAGCACCGTGGCTTCTGCTCAGGCTCGTGATGAAGCCATATCTTACAGTGCTTTGGAGGCCCTTCTGCTCAGCGCTGAGCGCAGTCAAGAGATGGATACAGTCTTCTCTGATGATACTGGACCTACTGCTCTCGCTGCTGCTTGTGGCGGTTGTCCTGGTACCTTTCGTGGTTGTGGCGAAGGCTATGGACGTATTCGTGGTGGTATGAGTACTTTGTTTTTAATCCTCTTTCCTTTTTTATTTTCGGTTGGCCTCATTTTGATTTTTGTTTTCATAGGCACAAGTGCTAGTTCTAGAATGGCTTACATTCCAACACACAAGCGGCACTTGAAGGAATCGGAGAGGACATTGCTGACATCAGAGCTGCTTGCTTCACAATTGAAGAAAAACTTAAATGTCAATCCATGTAACATGTCTAATGTGGATGGGACTGGAAGAATAGTTTATGCAGACCATCCTACACATAGATGGTGTGCCGTAGCTTTGGATGACGAGAACCAGTTTCCATCTTCTGTTAATCTTGAACCTGTTACCTTGGAGTCTGCTGAGCCGAAAATTGGAAATAAATTTCTAGCTTTGATCAATACTAGTATAGATAACGGTTAGTACTCTAGCATTTCTTTTAGTGCGTTTATGTTGTATGTTATTACTTGGGTTGTGGATATGTTTGGTTTTGTTTTTCATGGTTGATACGTGACAGAAGGCGGTGAGGTGAAATTGAATTCGCGAAGGAGCCTTGGGGCATCTATAGCAGAAAATGTGCTGGAAGACTTAGTTTCTTCTTTCGAACACATGAGGAATGAAATGAAGTGTGCAAAGCTCACAGAAGTAAATCCTACTTTGGTTGCTAGAGTGGGCAAAGTACTTTTTCGTAGGTCAGATTTCTTCCTTCACCGATTCATTGGTTAGCTATTGAGCCTATTGTGCCAGTCATTTAGTTAATTGTTTCTTGCGATTATCCTTTTTACCTTTATGTTGTTCTTTCATCCGCCTCAGAATACTTGTTGAAGCAGAACAATATAATGGTCTATACTATGATAAAAGGTTACATTTGGCATTTTAGTTTAAATGGTAGGATTCCAAGTTGGACAGTGAAGCAGGATTCTAAAACTCTGCCCTTGTTTTTCGATACTTGATACAATATTATCTTTGGTATCGATGCTTAAGTATTGTTAATCATCTAGATTTCTTATTAATTTTGTACACGAACAGATGTATAACGATCTTTATTCAAATCTTTGAATCAGGGTCCCTTCAGTTAGCATCGAATCCATCAGAAGAAATTTGTGTCCTGAAATCTTGAAACGATGGGGGCGATCGTTTTACCCAAATGTTCCTGTTTCATATAAGGAAAGGATTGTGAACGAAGTTGTCCCACAAATTGGAGTTGATTTCGAAGAGGAGGAAGATATATACGAATTACAGGTATTTCTGTTAGACATGTCAACTTACTGAGTTCTGAGTTCATGTTTTCCACAATTCTGACTGTAGCTATGAATTGCTCATTTATTTTCTTCTTGTGTAGTTGTCTGATTCTACGAGTCCAGATCCAACTCTCTCCTGCAAATGTCGGGTAATGAAGGAACATGGAACGCTACAACTCTACGAGGCAAGTTTTCTAATTCATGCCAACTAAATTTGATGGAACTATATATGCTGCGGCAATCTCACGGTTGAGTTGCCACAATAGTGATTCGATAATTTAGATATAATATTTATGCTGCAAATATGAGTGTTGTATAACAAAACTAAATGTTCAACCACTGAATGTGATTGAGCTCTCCAATTGTTGAATAATTTGAGAGGAACCTTTCCAGATCATTAATATTTTCAGGACCCTTCCCTCTCTTAATTTGCCCTGTTGCTTGGCTTAGGGTTTATATCCTGAGACTTACATCGAAATGTCAACTTTCTTTCAGATCAAATTGAAACCAGTGCGTAAAATGGTAATGGACATTTCATGCACTACTAAGAATCTGGACCTGAGGCTAATGCTATGCACTAAGAGACTCGTAACTGATCTGACTGTAAGCTGCTTCACTCCGTCCTTTAGAAATTTACATTTCTATTCCTTGTTTCAGCAAAGATTCCTATACCTATCTTCAAGCCACAATCAAAACAAAGAATAGAACTTTTTCTAGAAATGTAACGGGACCATGTTGGTGAACTATACTGGACCCCTAGCTGAAATTATGCTTCTTGGAATGAAGTTTCGTGATCATATTAATTGGTGCTATTTCAGGATGATGAGATGCAAAGCATTACGGATCTCGTTAATTCTGCGATTCTAGATCCAGAAGTGAAGGGTGGATTGAGATGGCCCCTGGGGAAGGAGTCTTCTGGAGATAAATACAAAGTTCTTAGGGTTTGGCACGTAAGAGCTAATACGTATAGAAATTCATCACTGAGATTGAAAGTAAAACACTATGACCGATTTGATTTTAGAACCCTAACCGGGGAAGCTTCTTGGGTGGCGAGTCTGGTGCTGGAAAACGTAATGTCAAAGTTACGGGTAAACGCTGCCTTTTCTCTTGGACCCTTTTTTTTAGTTCATGTGCTGAAATAAAAGATATTTTTGAGAAGGTTTATCCTGCGTTGAAATCTCCTTTTCTTTCCATTTTCAGGAAGAAAATGTCGAAGTCAGCTCGGTTTATGAGATGCTTAAGGAAAATATGCAGTTTATATGGGATAACTTCTTGAGCTGTGAAAGTTTTTTAACATGAAATTGCTTGTTGTTGTAAATCAGTGATCACTGTCTATTCGACTTGTATATATCTGTTTCCTTCCTTAGTTTTATGTTCAACTTTTAGCATCGTTTGATGGATAATTAGTAACTGTTTTATTGATTTCTTGCAATTCTGCTATCTATTTGTATCTGGCATAGTTGATGGTTAATGCACTTTTGGCAATTTCATTTCGATGACTTCATTGCCAGTAACTGCTTCGGCTCAGGTACTTCCTTACAACCAAGATGGTTAGTGAAATTTTTGTAGTTTCTTTTTGCCTTGCTACGAATTTTAAGCAAAGTTCTGGTTTTAAAATGGCTTACGTCCCCCCACAAGCGGCAGTTAACGGAAAAGGGGAGGCCCGTTACCAACACTGGAGCTGCTTGCACCCCAGTTCAAGAAAAATTTAAATGTGAAGCCATCGAAGTATAATTTTGATACAAGATTTCTTTATGCAAACCATGCTATATCGAGATTTTGCACCATTGGTATGGATGATCAGAATTCAGAACCAGTTTCCATCTACCGTTATACTTGTGCCCATTTCCTTGGAATCTACCGAGTCGAATAGTGAAGAAAAACCTCTAGCTTTGATAGACTCCTGTCTAGATAATAGAAAGCAGTAGTCTAGCATATGGTTAATATAGGTGAAGTTGTGCTTGAGGACCTAGTTTAAAATATGGTACAGAAACTGGTTGGGAGGCTGTTTTTGGAAATGCTCGTTTCAAAGTTACAGGTAAGTCTTGTATTTTTCTCTGAAAATCAAATATCTCTGAACCAAGAAAAGATCTATCATGTGTTCATAGTAACATGACGTCGATCTTATTCTTTAGATTTTTCAGGAAGAAAATGTTAAAATTCTTAACAAAGAAGATCAGAATTACAGAAGAAAGAAGAAAGAAGGAATATAGAGAATGTAGAAGAAGACCTGGAAATAAAACTAGAGAGAATATGAAAAGTTTTGTATTGATAGAATGGTTATTTCTTACAAACATTAGACTGCAAATGGCCTTTTTATATCCCTCTAGTAGTCTAACTACCTTGCTTACTGTGTAAGCTACACATAACCCTCCTAACTAACTTTTAACAGAAATATTGATGACATGGCAGATTATATGGCATTCACTTGAGTCAATATCAGTCAACATCCCCCCTCAATCTCAACTAGGGAAACCAAGTTTGAGATTGAAACAATGACGAGTGAACGGCGGACTATGTAATCCTTTAGTAAGAATATCAGCAGTCTGTTCATCAGTGGGAAGATATTCAACCAACAAATCACCATGATGCACCCTTTCACGGACAAAATGATAATCCGTATCAAGGTGTTTGATTCTCGAATGATACACTGGATTAGCACTGAGTGCTATTGCAGATTTATTATCACAGAATATAGTTGGTTGAAAAGGTAATACAACGCCCAAATCTTTCAAAATGAGCCGAATCCAAGCCACATCTGCTGCAGTATGAGCAAGTGCCTTGTACTCCGCCTCGGTAGAACTTCGAGAGACGGATGATTGCTTCTTTGACTGCCACGAGATTGGATTTCCACCAAGATAGACCACATAACCAGTCACAGATCGTCTTGTGTTCAAATCAGCAGCCCAATCAGCATCAGAGAATGCTGTCAAATGTATGTCAGTATCAGCTGCATATGTAATGCCACACTCTGCAGTGCCTTGAAGATATCTAAGAATTCGTTTGACAGAAATGAGATGTAAATCTGTCGGAGCAGTCATAAATTGACACACTGAATTCACAGCATACGCTATATCAGGACGTGTAAATGTGAGATATTGCAGGGAACCAACCAAACTTCTGTACAATGTAGAGTCCTGCAATGGTATTCCCTCATGCAAGAGCATTTGATTGTGAGGTTTTCATGGTGTATTGGCAGGTTTACAAGATTCCATTCCAGCTTTATGAATAAGATCTTTAACATACTTTGATTGATTGACAAATATGTCTCCATTCTCCTTGTAGTGAATCTGAAGACCCAGGAAGTAAGTAAGTCTGCCCATATCCTTTAAGTAAAAAACACATGTCAAATCATCAATAACTTGCTGAACTTTGCTAGGATTGGATCCTGTCAAAATGATGTCATCTACATATAGTAAAAGAATCACCACATCCTTGTCATCATTCTTCACAAATAAACTTGTATCCGATGAAGATGGTACAAATCCCAAAGCTGGTAAATAGGTTGTGAACTTTGAATTCCATGCCCGAGGGGCTTGCTTCAACCCATACAACGATTTAATCAACTTACAGACATAATGGGGTTTAGTTTGATCAACAAACCCTTGAGGCTGTTTCATATACACCTCTTCTTGCAAGTCACCATGCAGAAATGCATTTTTGATATCTAATTGCCTCAAATCCCATTTATTGATAGCTGCTAAGGACAAAATGAGTCTTACAGTAGTGTGTCGGACTACGGGACTAAAAGTTTCTGAGTAATCAATGCCTGGTTCTTGGGAAAAACCTTGAGCCACGAGTCTGGCTTTATACCTCGATACACTACCATCAGGATTCTTCTTAACCTTATATACCCACTTACTGCCAATAATAGTTCTATTTGGTGGAGAAGAAACCAATTGCCAAGTTCCTTGAGCTTTGAGTGCATTAAACTCTTCTTGCATTGCACTTTGCCAATGTGGACATGTAGAAGCTTTTCGGAATGTTGAGGGTTCCTCCAAATCCTGTATTGCAGCAATAAATGAAAATCCCCCAGTAAAGTCACACTCATTATCCATCTGGAGAGTTTGTAATTCTGGAAATGAACCAATATAACCTGTGTAAGATATTCGGGAAATGGTACCTGACTTCAACCTGGTGACCATATTGTGAGCTGATTCTTCATTAGTTTCAACCACAGGAGAAGAGATTGGTAGGATTACCTCTAACTGAGAAGAACTATGGACAGGCAACAATGATATTGTACTTGGAGGTGATGTTAAGAGAGTATGAGAGCTATGAGTATGAGCATTGAGATCCTGAGAAACTTGACTTGATGAGCTTGGAACCTGTAAGCTATCCATTGGTTGATCTTCCATAATATCTGGATTGGCAGATGACCCAGCAAGGGTTGGGGAGGATATGGGATCAGGAGCAAAACATGGTATTTGAACCATGATTGGAAACATTGTTGTACTCTGGACCTTATTGAACTTCCCAGAAGACAACTGCAGTCTTGATTTAAATGGAAATGTAGTCTCATCATGCACCACATGTCTTGACAATACTAGTTTAGTACTACTCAAATCATAACAGACTACACCTTTATATCCAGCCACAAAACCAAGAAAAACACATTGCTTCGACCTAGGTTGCAATTTATGTTTAGTATACGGCCTTATGAATGGATAAACTGCAGATCCAAATATCTTCAATGTATGCAACACAGGGTCTTGTTTAAACATGAGCTGATATGGAGACTTCATCCCCAAAACCTTACACGGCATTCTGTTAATCAGAAATGCAGCATGAGTACAAGCATAATTCCAGAACTGTAATGGAACTTCAGCCTCGGTTAAAAGTGTGATAGCAGTCTCTACGATGTGCCTATGTTTCCTCTCAGCAAGACCATTCTGCTGAGGTGTGTAAGGACATGATATGGAATGTGCAGTTCCTTTGAGTGCCAAAAAAGACTGAAATCTGTTACTCATATATTCAGAACCACCATCAGTCTGTAAGCACTTAATTATAGAATTGAACTGAGTTGTAACAAACGCAAAAAACTTAACAAAGACTTGGAAAACCTCAGATTTATTGATAATAGGGAAGATCCATACAAATCTTGAGAACTCATCCACAAAACTTACATAGTATCTAAACCCTTCTAGAGACTTAACTGGAGCAGGCCCCCAAATATCAGAATGTACTTTTTCAAACATAGAACTAGCCCTAGTTTCTTTGACAGGAAAGGGTTGTCTACACATTTTTCCAGAAAGACATGAAGAACAAACAGAAGGTGATGAATCTACACTAACAGGCTGTCCAACATTTCGAAGCATAACATCAAGCACTTCGGCAGAAGGATGCCCAAGCCTCTTATGCCAAACAGAAGTCTTTACAGCTTTCCCAAGTAATGCAACAGCTTTATTTTGACCAGCAACCAATCTCCTTGAAAACACAATCACAGGGATCTCATATAACTCTCCCCTACTCTTGCCGTGGTACAACATCATTCCTGTTGCCTTGTCCTGTATAAAAAAGACACTCTCATCACATATAAACCAGCAATGATTATCTTCACATAATTTCTTAACAGATAAGAGATTAACAGTAATGGTTGGAACATGTAAGACATTCTTGAAAAACAGTAAATGTGGTGGAGTTGAAAGTGTTGTAGAACCAATATGAGTAACAGCCAAACCTTCCCCATTACCAATAGTGATTTTCTCATCACCATTATACTGCACAGGTTGATTGAGATTCCCAAGATTAGATGTCATATGGTGTGAAGCACCAGTGTCCAACACCCATGTATCAGCTGCAGAGAAATGTTGAACATTCTGACCATATTCTGCAGCAGTCATGTGAGATGGAGCGTGAGCAGAAAATGCAGTAAGAGAAGGAGGTGGAGGTGCCCCCTGATAGGAATAGTTATTCCTATGTCTACAATCCAGAGCATGATGACCTTTCTTTCCACAAATTTGACAGATTAGAACCTGATAACCATCAGTCATATTCGAACAAGTGGCAGCAGTATGACCTCTGCGAGAACAAATCTGACATTCAACTATCGGACCTGTTTTGAAGGTAGTATTACCATTCCAAGAAGACCTATTCCCAGTAGAAGAATTATTATAGTTGTTTCCCCATCTCTGTCTATTCCCATTGTAATAAGGCCTTGAATTATTGAAAGACCCATAACCACTTCTGTTATAGTTCTGAGAAGTATTAGACCCCTGAGAATTATTAAACCCATTTCTGTTTTGAAACCTGTTGTTCCCTTGATAGCCTTAAGTATCACCAGTGTGTGAACCAGCATTTGAACTCTCTCCTTGTGAATACCCGGAATTCTGATGACCACCTGTAACTCTATCTCCTTGAACATACATTGTAGCCATGCCACTGGCCAGAGTAGTGACTCTTGCTTCCATAGCAGATTCAACACCAATCAACTGCGCCCTGAAATCTTTCAGTGGAATAGAAGTCTCCCTTGCTAAAACTACAGCCTTGATAATATCAAACTCCGATGGTAATCCAGATAAAGCAGTAATAACAACATCATTATCAGTAATCCTCTCCCCTGCAGACACAAGCTGATCACGAATGGCTTTCAACCGAAGCAAATACTTGTCAATAGAATCACTGCCTTTTTGAATTGTATGAAACTCAATTTTGAGTTGATTAATCCTAGCCCTTGACACGGACGCATATCGGTCTTGTAAGTTTACCCAAGCTTCATGAGACGTTTTACACCCTATGACATATTCCATAGCATCATCCGACAAAGTAGCAATTAACAGACTCAATAGTGCCATATCTTTCTGAACCCAAGATTTATAAGCTGCTGTGATTTCTGTAGTCACTCCACTCTCAGTGTTAATCACAAACTTTGGTGGACAAGGAGACTCACCAGTAAAAAATTCAAAGAAATCATACCCTCGTAAAACAGACTGAAACTGATAATTCCACTTAACAAAATTGTCATCTTGCAACTTCACAGTTAACATACCAAGCAAACTTTCAATGCGTACTGATTTATCAGACATCTTTATCACGTATTACTGACAAGCAAACAATCTCAATCACAAATTTGTTTAACTCCAAACTACAACAATGATCACTACTTCAAGATATTTGCACTACTTCTTGGCATCGGCCTTCTATATGTATATACTTCAAAAGCTAAAATTTCAGCAATATCACAAATGAACAACTTCAACCATATCACACCACAAATATAAATCTGCTATTGTCTGGCATCAGCCTTAACCGAATCCAACAAGGAACCCATATATGAAAAACCACAAGAAACAACCCAAATCGCCATATATCTTCACTGAAGTAAAAACACAAACACTTGATGTGCAAAGAATAACGAAAGAAACCAACAACCTGATTGAAAGATCCTCGACCCAAAATTCATCAAGACAGCACCAATCCTCCAAGAACTCCAACAACGCCTTCAACGATCAATCTCCAAGACTTACTCAGCGGAAGAAAATCCCAAAAAAAAAATCAACCTTGGCTCGATACCATCTTAACAAAGAAGATTAGAATTACAGAAGAAAGAAGAAAGAAGGAATATAGAGAATGTAGAAGAAGACCTGGAAATAAAACTAGAGAGAATATGAAAAGTTTTGTATTGATAGAATGGTTATTTCTTACAAACATTAGACTGCAAATGGCCTTTTTATATCCCTCTAGTAGTCTAACTACCTTGCTTACTGTGTAAGCTACACATAACCCTCCTAACTAACTTTTAACAGAAATATTGATGACATGGCAGATTATATGGCATTCACTTGAGTCAATATCAGTCAACAAAAATCCGCTTGATTTCTAATATGCTGCAGGACGATGTGCAGTTGATATGCTGTGAACCTTTTCTAACATGCAATGAAACTACGTGCATGCTGCAACCTCTCACTAATGAAGTAATCGTGTGCTGCTTCGTTGTAAACCTATGTAGTCGCAATTAAGTGCTTATTGGGAGAGTGATTTGCTTTGCTTAATTAGGTGTTCGTGATATCAGGATGTTAACTTTTGCTGGAGTATGTATCGTATTAGGAGATTCTACCTAAAGTTCGAGAACTTTTTCAACGTTCCGAGAACACTACCGGGTACACTCAAGTATCATAATACAATTAGTTAAAAAAAAAAATTTAAGTATCCAGCCAATTATGTTATTACATGGTGTGCCAGACCATGTTCCCGGCACACAAAAATTTCTTCTAAAGTCCAATTGATAAATAGGTGGACTATATATACGCTTGAGGTTCTACAATAAGTTCTGATAAACTAATGCAAAATCTTTTAACTTTTTGGTGACAGACAATACTCAATATCACACATTAAAGATTCAAATAATGTTTATACATTAATTTGTAATTTCATTTTTTAACTTTCTGATGAAGAAGATGAAGGGTTTCTTCTTCATATTGATTTGTTGTCAGAGAAGAAAGTTTTCTTTAAATTGATTTTCTTTAATAATGAATATCTATCTTTTAATTGGTTTTTTATTCACGCGGCACAAATTTTGTGGGGCCAACTACATCCACATGGACAAATAACAAAGAAACTAACATAAATTGATACAGATTTAAGACATTTATACAAAATCGTGAGTCGTCGTATGAAATTGAAAAAATTAAAAAACATACGAATTTGAAATTGGACGAAAACTTGAGGAGAAAAAAAAATGTAATCTACCTTTTTTTAACATTTTTCGGTGGGTTAGATGATTTGCATCACAAATTTTTGGCCCACTGAACTCCAAAAATGGCTTTTGAGTTGTAAAATGAGCATTCCTAGATAATTTATTCTTTATTAAACTAAAATAGAATTTCAATTTCACGAAGCTAATTTTATTCTTTATATCCTCTAGTGGCAATTCAGTAATAGGATCCGGTGGTATGCCTCTTTATTTAAAAATGAGAGGTCTTAGGTTCAAATCTCGTTGATGACGAATTCGATACCAAATTAGGTTGCTCATTGTATAGGTTAGCCTAACTCTCATCCCATTAGTGTAAAAATATTAATGTACTTGACACGCCCCGACCCTGATATTCCCCGAATACCAGGATAGACACGTGTTGGCCGACACCTGAGGGTGATGAAAGCCATTAATTGATACAAAAGCTAAGAATAAGAAATAAATAAGGGTTAGAAATTTAAAATACAAGGAATTAATAATTTAGGAACGTGCTCAGAGCATACAACTAAATCTAATCACTAAAAAGAATTAAGATAAAATTTAATGAATAGAGGAGTGGGTCCTACATCGAGAGGATTCGAAAATGTTGCTGTAGAAGTGCCTTGACGTCGGGATTAGGTGCCTTGACGCCGGGATTAGGTGTCTTGATTCTAAGTCCTGAATGGGAGCGCAAAACAAAGGTGAGTGGACCAAGTTCATATATATATAATAATAAAACAGTTATCAAAGTAATAACCCCCACAGTTTAATAATGAAAACTACTAGCATAATAAGTGATGGATTTAATAAAAACCCTAGCATGCCAAAGTATCTCAAAAGTCACATCGCGGAAACGCATCGCGGAAATCAAAACGGTAAACGCATCATAAATCGTCTCGTAAACGCGGTGTGCTGCTAGAAAGATCACCGAATAAATATAACTCCTGGCCCAATGCCTGCTCCGTGGTCTCTGCGCCCGTAGCCAGAGATTACCAACTCCCGGCCCAATACCTGCTCCATGTCCCTCAGCCCGTAGCTAGGGATTATTTCTCCCAGCCTAAATGCCAACACCAGTTCCTCGCCCCAGGCGGCATAGTGTCTACTAGGTACGCACAAATAGTTATGACACGCCCCGACCCTAATATTCCCCGAATACCAGGATAGACACGTGCTAGCCGACACCCGAGGGTGACGAAAGCCATTAATTGATACAAAAGCTAAGAATAAGAAATAAATACGGGTTAGAAATTTGAAATACAATGAGTTAATAGTTTAGGAACGTGCTCAGAGCATACAACTAAACCTAATCACTAAAAAGAATTAAGATAAAATTTAATGAATAAAGGAGTGGGTCCTACCCCGAGAGGACTCGAAGATGCTGCTGCGGAAGTGCCTTGACGCCGGGATTATGTGCCTTGATTCTAAGTCTTGAATGGGGGCGCAAAACAAAGGTGAGTGGACCAAGTTTATATATACAATAATAATAAAACAGTTATCAAGATACTAACCCCCAAAGTTTAATAATGAAAACTACTAGTATAATAAGTGATGGATTTAAATCAAAATCCTAGCATGCCAAAATATCTCAAAAGTCACATCGCGGAAACGCATTGCGGAAATCAAAACAGTAAACGCATCATAAATCGTCTCGGAAGCGCGGTGTGCTGCTAGAAAGATCACTGAATAAATATATCTCCCGGCTCAATGCCTGCACCTAAGTCTCTGCGCCCGTAGCTAGAGATAACTACCACCCGGCCCAATGCCTCTTCATGTCCCTCAGCCCGTAGCTAGGGATTATTTCTCCCGGCCTAAATGCCAACACCAGATCCTCGCCCCTGGCTGCATAGTGTCCACTAGGTACACACAAAATGTTACGCCTCTCGTAAATAACCACTTCATAGCATAGGTTACCGATCATCGTCTACACTATAAAGAGGGGTTCAAAAACATGTTCTAGCATCCTATCGTCATTTATCAGATAGTCTACCAGTTCATAGTTTTTATAGAAAATACGATATATTAAAATATAGCTCAATATAGGCCAACAATTAATTCCTCACCAAAAACACGAGACGATAATCAATATATTAAATCATCAGGCTTCACATAAATCAGATCATAAATTCGTAGGCATGCTAATCATTTATGCAATTAAATTATCAAATCATGTAATTTTAGAAGGGGTCCACTCACAGTACTTAGTTATCAAAAGCTGCGCCACTAGCGAAGACGGAAACATCACAATAATTGCCCCTAAGCACATAAAGAGTCTAATAAATAAAACTATATAATAGCAATTGAATTTGGGAAAACGGACATTGGAAATGGATTCAGAACGTCGAATTACCCTAAGAAAGGTCCCGGACGAAAACCCGAAAAGTCAACCCTAAAGTCAACGTTGATCGGGGATCAACGGTCAATTTAGGTCTAACGGGTTTTAGGCTTGAAATCCGGATTAGGGTTTAGGTTAAATAGGATTAGGATTTATTGGGTTTTGGAATTCTAAGGCTTTTTGGGTTAAAAGGGTTTAGGATGAAAAGGGGTGGTTTGGGCTTAAGCCCAAACTCACACACAACACACACACACACTCACACACTACACAAACCCTAAAACACACACACACACACGGCATGCATAAATACATACACACACACCCACGACACCAAGGCCCTAAGGCCTCACAAAAACTAGCAGGGCTTTAAGCCCCTTTTTAAATGGAACCGGCCCAAGGCCAGTTTAAATAAGGCCCAAGGCCTTTGGGGAGGGTTTTAAAAAGAACAAGAAATTAAAAAAAAAAAGGTTAAACTCAGTTTACTACCCTCAAATTTCATGGTTTTCAACATTTAGTACATCAAGTTTTTTTCGTCTCAGAGTCATACCTAAAGTGTTAATTTTGGGACAGTTTCATACATCCGTTAGTCAATCTGTTAACTCTGCCGTTAAATGATGACGTGGCACCCACGTGGACAATGACTGGGCGCCACGTGTCATTAAAAAAAAACTATTAAAATAATTAATTACATAAAGTAAAAAAAAAATTCCGCAAATCCCCTTTGTCTTCCCCACCCCGACCCCCCTCCCTTCTCCCTCTGCACATCCGCACATCCGCACATCCATCCTTCCCCCTTCTCCCCAGATCCCCTGAATTCATCGGCATTTCCAGCAAACAGCTGCAAACCAACACACAACACAAGCCAAAATTAACCAAACCATCATTCAATTTTCCACGCATAAAAACAAATCTTTCCACATTTGCTACATTGTAAGCCAATAAAACACAATCGAAAAGGGAAAAAATGAACCTCTTCATCGTCGGGCTTGCAAACAGTCTTATCGATTTCCCTGGTGTTCTCAATCGTCTACGGGATCTTCTTCACCGGCTGCTACAAAGCGCAATTAACAACACTAATTAGCTAATCAATCCTTTGTCTTCCCCACCCCGACCCCCCTCTCTTCTCCCTCTGCACTTCCACACCCCCTACCACCTTATTCCAACGCGCCGCCTCAAAGACCAAGGATCTATGGAAGCAGCTTCTTCCACTCCTTCCCTGTCCTCCCATTTACACCTGCTCCAATTTCCCATTTCAATAACCCACAAAAATCATAAAAACACACCCACAAAACTTATAAAAACAGAGAAACAGAGAAATAGAGAAAGAGAGAGACCGCTGGGATTGACGACGAAAACGAGGTCGCGATGGGGAGCGGAGGAAGACCCATTTTTCAGAATGGAGCGGTCAGCGCACAGATCAGGACCTTTGGGGAGCTCGGCTCTCACAGCCCATGGTGTCGCCATTGAAACTTTCACTCTTCTCACTGCCCATGGTTTCGGTTTTGGTTCTGTCTATGGAGGGGATGGAGAAGACGAAGGGGGTGAAGGGAATGGAGAAGACGAAGGGGGTGGAGGGGTGGAGAGGTGGAACCGTGGAGGGTCTTCCAGAAGGAAAAAAGGGGTTCTAGTGGGGAAGACGAAAGGGGAAGGAAAAAAGGGGGTTTTGGTTTTTTTATGTTTTTTTACATTATTTAATTAAAATTTTAATTTTTTTAATGACACGTGGCGCCCAGTCATTGTCCACATGGGCGCCACGTCATCATTTAACGGCAGAGTTAACAGTTTGACTAACGGACATATGAGACTGTCCAAAAATTAACACTTTAGGTATGACTCTGGGACGAAAAAAACTTGATGTACTAAATGTTGAAAACCACGAAACTTGAGGGTAGTAAACTGAGTTTAACCCAAAAAAAAGAACTAAAGGGCTGGGGGGTTTTAACGGGCTTAAGGCCCAAGGGGAAAGGAAAAGGAAGGCCGGTGGCCTGGTTTTGCCGAGACAGAGAAGGCCGAAAATTCGGTCGGAAAACCACCTAACTTTAAACGGCTATAACTTTGTCACTACACAACGAAATCAAGCAAGACAAAAACGAAAGTTGTAGCCCTCGAAGAGACGAAGAGAATGATACCTCACATGACGTCTAACTCGCCATGGTTTGGCCGGAAAATTCCTCGAAAGCCGTCGGACTCGCCGGAAACTGGGTAAGATTCAAATGAGTATAACTTCTTCAATACTCAACGAAATTAAGTGAAACAAAAAAGGAAAGTTGTACTACTCGACGAGACGAAGAGATTGATACCTTGCACGCCGGCCAACTCGCCGTGGTTTGGCCGGAAATGGCCTCGAAAGTCGTCGGAGTCGTTGGGGGGAACTTGGGTGTTCTCTGGGTGTCCCGAAGCTTCGCCGAGACAGGGGAGAGAGAAGAAAGTTCCAGAGATGATGGTGGTGTGGAAGTGAGGGTGTGTGGTTTTGGTTCACGGGGAGAAGGAGGGAGTGCTGAGAAAGAGCACGGAAGAGATAGAGAAAAGAAGAGAGAGAGAGAGAGACTGGAAAAACACAAGAAAAATAAAACAAGGTGGGCCCCACAAGCTCACCAATTAAGGCTTTAAAACAATTTTTAAATAAAATGGGGTTGGGGTGTTTCAAGTTACGCCTCTCATAAATAACCACTTCATAGTATAAAGTCATCCATCGTCTATACTATAAGAGGGGTTTCCAAAACATGTTCTAGCATCCTATCGTTATCCATCGAATAGTCTACCAGTTCATGATTTTTATAGAAAATACGATATATTAAAATATAGTTCAATATAGGTAAACAATTAATTCCTCACCAAAACACAAGACGCTAATCAATATCTTAAATCATTAGGCTTCACATAAATCAAATCATAAATTCGTAGGCATGCTAATCATTTATGCAATTACTATAAAATCATGTAATTTTAGAAATTGTCCACTCACAAATATTCCTTAGCAGAAGAATCGCGCGAATAAGGATATAGAATTTCTCCACTAGCAACTTTACCTAAGCACAAAAATATAATTAATACATAAAATGATTTTCTAAAAGATTGGGCTTGAACTAAATTAAATAAGGGAAATTGGGTTGGATGGGTTTAGGGTTAAAAGGCCATTAGGGTGTCAATTGGGGTTTGGGTTTTAACCCAACCCATATGCACACACACGGGCACAAGGCCCTAAGGCCTCACTAACAGAAAACAGGGCTTTAAGCCCTTGATTTAAACCGGCCCAAGGCCACTAAAAACTATAACTAAAAATAAAAACTAAATGGGTTAGGGTACTGGGCTAAGGCAAAACGGGCTTGGGGCCCGAGGGAAAGGGGAGAGGCCAAACGGCCTGGTGTCAAGGAAGAAGAAGGCCGGAGCTGCTACAGCTCCGGTCACCTGAAAACTAAGGTTTCAAGCTCCGATCTAGGTACAACCATGAAGAACAAGAAGAGAGAAAGAGGTTGCTACCTTCCAAACACCGTAACTCGGTCGAAGGTAACCGGAAAAAGCTCCCAAGGTCCACTGTTCGCCGGAAAATGGGTGTGCTCACCCACAACGGTTCCGAAGCAAAAACCTACGTAAAAATGTAAGGTTCAAGCTTCTAAATTACAACCAAACAACAATCTAACAACGAGAAGGAAAGATTCTTCTAACAACGAGAAGGAAAGATTCGAAACTTACTCCAACGAAAAAGGGAAGGAAAGCCCACCGGAGCTTTGCTCCGTGTCGTCAATCTCGCGGGCAGAGGGGTCCTGGTTCGTGGAGAGTCTCTCCTAGTGGTGCTAAGGTCCTCGAGAGTCCAAGGAGAGAGAGAGAGAGACGAGAGTTTGAGGGAGAGAGGGAGAGAGGAAGAAAGAGATGCACGGGAGAGTTGAGAGGGCTACGGGAGGGAGAGATGAAGAAGAAGGAGGTCACGGAGTGGGGGTCAAAAAGAGAGAAAAAGAGAGGAGGTTGATGATTGACACGTGGCAATGAAGTGGAAATAACAAATTTTCCAATTATTTTGAGGGTTTTTTAACATACTAATTAAAAAAATTAAAAACAAAAACCCTCCAGCAAGGTTAATTAGCAAAAATTAAATAAAAAACCCTCCGGCAAAGTTTGTCACAAAAAAAGCAGATAACCCTCCACCAAGTTGTCTATAAAATGAAAAAAAAAAAAAAAAAAAAAACCTCCAGCGAGGTTAATTAGCAAAAATTAAAGAAAAAACCCTCCGGCAAGGTTTGTCACAAAAAAAAACATATAACCCTCCACCAAGTTGTCTCTTGAAAAAAAAAAAAAAAAAAAAAAAAAAAACCCTTCCAGCAAGTTGTAATCCTATAAAATCGAGGGGAAGCCTCACTCATAATTCATTGAGCTGAGAGTTTATTCAAATCATTCATCCTAAGCATTTCCTTTTTCTTTCAAATGGCGTCCAACTCTTCCAGCTCTTCCAACGTTTCCAACTTTCTTCCGATTAAACTTGACCCTACCAATTACCCTCTCTGGCAAGCCCAGATGCTTACCTTGCTTCGTAGCAGGAATCTCGTCTCCTTTGTTGATGGCACTAGCAAATGTCCTCCTGCCTTTCTCAAAGATGATGAGGGCATTTTTACTGATACTGTGAATCCGGAGTTTGAAGCATGGATTCAACAAGATAATATGGTTTTGTCCTGGATCAAGAGCTCTGTTCATCCCACTGTGTTGGATGCCGTAATCTGGAAAACCAGTTCTCATTCTGCGTGGACCTGTCTGCGCGAAAGCTATGATTTGCAGCCCACTGGCCGTCTTCTTCAACTTCGCAGTGAGCTGATGAACACCCACCGTGGCGACTCCTCCATTTCTGAGTTTCTCAGTCGTGTCAGTTCCCTTGCTGACGGCCTCTCCTTATCTGGTGCTCCTGTTTCTGACTCAGACATTGCTGCCATTGTTCTCAACAATGTTGGCCCTGCATGTGAAAGCACCGTGGCTTCTGCTCAGGATCGTGATGGGGCCATATCTCACAGTGCTTCAGAGGCCCTTCTGCTCACTGCTGAGCGGAAACAAAGGATGCATACTGTCTTCTCTGCTGATACTAGACCCACTGCTCCCACTGCTGCTCGTGGCCGTCGTCCTGGCACCTTACGCGGTCGTGGCAAAGGCTATAGAGGTATTCGTGTTGTTATGAGTACTCTGTTTTCAATCCTCTTTTTTTCTTCTTTTTTGTTTTGGTTTGGCCTCATTTTCATCTTTGTTATAGGCATAAGTGCTAGTTCAGGAATGCCTCACTTTCCACCACACAAGTGGCACTCGAAGGAATCGGAGAGGCCATTGCCGACTTCAGAGCTACTTGCTCAACGATTCAAGAAAAACTTATATGTCAAGCCATATAACAAGTCTAATGTGGATTGGACTGGAAGAATAGCTTATGCAGACCATTCTACATATAGATGGTGCGCTGTTGCTTTGCCTGACGAGAACCAATTTCCACCTTCTGTCAATCTTAAGCCCATTTGTTTGGAGTCCACTGAGCCGAAGGTTGAAGAAAATCGTCTAGCTTTAATCAACACTAGTCTAGATGAAGGTTAGTACTCTAACATTTCTTTTAATGCGTTTATCTTTGTATGTTGTTACTTGGGTAGTGTGGATATGTTTGGTTTTGTTGTTCATGGTTGATGCGTGACAGAAGGCGGTGAGTTGGAATGGAATTGGCTAAGGAGCCCTGCGGTATCTATAGCAGAAAATGTGCTGGAAGACTTGATTTCTTCTTTTAAACACATGAGGAATGAAATGAAGTGCGGAAAGCCCACTTTGATTGCTAGAGTGGGGAAAGTACTTTTTCGTAGGTGAGATTTCTTCCTTATCTGAGTCATTTAGTTGATTGTTTCATGCGATTATCCTTTTTACCTTTATGTTGTTCTTTTATCCGCCTCGGAATACTGGTTGAAGTAGAACAAAATAATAGTCGATAATATGATAGAAGGTTACATTTGGCATTTTAGTTTAGAAGGTAGGATGCCAAGTTGGACAGTGAAGCAGGATTCTATAACTCTGCCCTTGATTTTCGATACTTGATACAATATTATATTGTTATCGATGCTTAATTACTGTCAATCATCTCATACTTCATATCAGTTTTGTACAAGGACAGTGGTATAACAATTTTTGTTAAAATCTTTGAATCAGGAGCCCTTTAGTTAACATGGAAGACATCAGAACAAATTTGTGTACTGAAATCTTGAAACAGTGGAGACGATCATTGTACACAAACATTCCTGTTTCATATAAGGAAAGGATTGTGAACGAAGTTGTCCCGAAAATTGGAGTTGATTTCGAAGGGGAGAAAGATACATACCAAGTAAAGGTATTTCTTTTAGACACATCAACTTACTGAGTTCTGAGTTCATGCTTTCTACAATTCTGACTTTTGCTATTGACTCACTAATCTATGTCCTTCTTGTATAGTTGTCTGATTCCACCAGACCAGATGCAACTCTCTCCTGCAAATGCCGTGTAATGAAAGAACATGGAAAGTTACAACCCTACAAGGCAAGTTTTCGAATTCCTGCGAACTAAATTGGATGAAATGGTAAATGGTACATGATGCATCAGTTCCATGATGGAGTTGTCATGATACTGATTAGATATAATCTACTGTTCACATTTCCAATTTGTGGAATAATGTGCGAGCAGCATTTCCACATTGTTAATACCTTAATATATCCGTAACTCTTCCTCTTAAGTTTTCCTGTTGCTTGGCGTAGAGATTGTTTACTAAGACTTACATTGCATTGCCAACTTTGTTTTAGATTGAACTGAATCAACTGCGTAACATGGTCGTGGATATTTCATGCACTACCAAAAATCTGGACCTGAGACTGATGCTATGCACGAAGAGACTCGTCACAGATCTGACTGTAAGCTGCTTCACCCAGTACCCTTCTTGTTTCAGCAAAGCAATTAGTTATAACCTATTTATCATGGAGCCACAATCAAAACAAACAACAGAATATTTTCGGTAAATGTAACTGGACGATGAGGTTTAAACCATATTGGATGCATTCCTGAACTTATGCAGCTTGAAATGAGGTTTTGTGATCATATGAATCGTTGCTATTTCAGGACGATGAGATGCAAAGCATTTGGGATCTGATTAATTCCGCGATTCTAGATCCAGATGTGAAGGGCGGGTTGAGATGGCCTTCGGGAAAGGATTCTTCCGGAGATAAATACAAAGTTGATGGGGTTTGGCACTTGATAGCTAATACGTATAAAAATTCATCGTTCAGACTGAAAGTCAGACATGCGGATCGATTTGATTTTAGAACCCTATCTGGGGAAGCTACTTGGGAGACAAGTCTGATGTTGAAAAAGGTCCTGTCAAAGTTGGAGGTAAACGCTGCCTATTCTCTGGGACAACTTCTTTTACTTCATTTGCTGAAATAAAAGATTTATTTGAGAAGGTTTATCGTGTGCTGAAATCTCCTTTTCTCCAATTTTCAGGAAGAGAATGCCGAAGCCAGCTCGGTTTCTGAGATACTGAAGGAAGACATGCATCTGATATGGGACAACTTCTTGAGCTGTGAACGTTTCCTGACATGAAAATGCATGTTGTAAATCAGGGATTTGCTTTGTTTAATTAGGTGTTTGTGATTTCAGGATGTTAAACCTTTGTAGTCGTAGTTAAGTGCTTATTGGGAGAGTGATTTGCTTGCTTAATCTAGGTGTTTGCGATATGAGGATGTTAACTTTTGCTTGAGTATGTATTATTTTAGGAGGTTCTACCCAAAGTACAATTGATAATTGGTGGAGTGTCTATTTACTCTTGAGGTTCTACAATACCTTCGACGAAGCTATTGCAAGGTCTTTTAGTTTTTTAACGACGGACAACATTCAGCATCACACGTTAAAGATCTAAATGTTTATACATTAAGTTGTCCTTTGGTTTTTTTAACTTTCTGATGGCGACGATGAAGGGTTTTTTTTCTTCATATTGATTTGTTGTCATAGCATAAGAGTTTTCTTCAAATTGATTTTTTTTAATAATGAATATCCTTTTTTCAATTGGTTTTTTTATTCAAGTGGCACAAATTATTCGAAAACTTGCCTTTTTTTCAATTAATTTAATTTCGAATCGGATGAATTGAAGAAAATTAACGAACATATGAAACACCACAACCCCATTTTATTTAAAAATTGTTTTAAAGTCTTAATTGGTGAGTCAAGGGGGACCCACCCCTGATTTCTGTCCCCAGCCTCCCATCTCTCTCTTCCTTCTTCTTCGTCTCTCTCCCCCGTAACTCTCCCTTAGCTCTCTCCCTCTCAGCTCTCCCGTACCTCTCTCCCTCAACCTCTCGCATCTCTCTCTTCCCCCGGACTCACTAGGACCGAGTCACCATCGAACAGAGGCTCGCAACGAACCCCGGACCCTGCCCTGCGAGTTCGACGGCACGGAGTAAGCTCCGGCGAGCACCGCCCATTTCGAGGCCATTTCCGGCCAAACAAAGCGAGTTGGCCGGCGTGTAAGGTATCAATCTCTTCGTCTCCTTGGGTACTACAACTTTCCTTTTTGTTTCACTCAATTTCGTTGAGTATTGAAGAAGTTATACTCATTTGAATCTTACCCAGTTTCCGGCGATTCCGACGGCTTTCGAGGCATTTTCCGGCCAAAACACGGCGATTTAGACGTCGTGTGAGGTACCATTATCTTCGTCTCTTCAAGGGCTACAACTTTTGTTTTTTTTCTCGCTTGATTTCGTTAAGTATTGACAAAGTTATGGCCGTTTAAAGCGAGTGTGGTTTTCCGGCCGATTTCCGGCTTTCTCTCCCATTGGGTCCGGCGACCCACCAAAACCCAAGGCTTTGGGCCTTCCTTGCCGAGCCCAGCCCTTTTGTGAGGCCTTAGGGCCAGGCTTTATGTGTGTGTATTAGGTGTGTGTGTGTGTTAGTTGTTTGGGTTTGGGCTTAAGCCCAAACCACCCATTTTCACCCTAAACCCTTTTAACCTTAGAACCCTAAAATCAAAACCCAATAAATCCTAATCCTATTTAACCTAAACCCTAATCCGGATTTCAAGCCTAAAACCCGTTAGACCTAATTTGATCGTTGACCTCCGGTCAACATTGACTTTAAAGTTGACTTTTCGGGTTTTCGTCCGGGACCCTTCTTAGGGTAATTCGACGTTCTGAATCCGTTTCCAATGTCCGTTTTCCCAAATTCAATTGCTATTATATAGTTTTATTTATTGGACTCTTTAATGTGCTTAGGGGCAATTATTGTGACGTTTCCGTCTTTGCTAGTGGCGCAGCTTTTGGCAACTAAGTACTGTGAGTGGACCCCTTCTAAAATTACATGATTTCATAGTTTAATTGCATAATTGATTAGCATGCCTACAAATTTATGATCTGATTTATGTGGAGCTTGTTGTTTTAATATATTGATTATCGTCTCGTGTTTTTGGTGAGGAATTAATTGTTGGCCTATTTTGAGCTATATTTTAATATATCGTATTTTCTATAAAAACCATGAACTGGTAGACTATCTGACAGATGACGATAGGATGCTAGAACATGTTTTGAACCCCTCTTTATAGTGTAGACGATGATCGGTAACCTACGCTATGAAGTGGTATTTACAAGAGGCGTAACATTTTGTGCGTACCTAGTGGACACTATGCCGCCTGGGGCGAGGATCTGGTGTTGGCATTTAGGCCGGGAGAAATAATCCCTAGCTACGGGCTGAGGGACATGAAGAGGCATTGGGCCGGGTGGTAGTTATCTCTGGCTACGGGACGATTTATGATGCGTTTACTGTTTTGATTTCCGCGATGTTATTCCGCGATATGGCTTTTTGAGATACTTTGGCATGCTAGGATTTTTATTAAATCAATCACTTATTATGCTAGTAGTTTTCATTTATATAAACTTTGGGGGTTAGTATCTTGATAACTGTTTTATTATTATTGTATTTATAAACTTGGTCCACTCACCTTTGTTTTGTGCCCCCATTCAGGACTTAGAATCAAGGCACCTAATCCCAGCGTCAAGATACTTCCGCAGCAGCATCTTCGGATCCTCTCGAATGTAGGACTCACTCCTTTATTCATTAAATTTTATCCTAATTCTTCGTAGTGATTAGGTTTAGTTGTATGCTCTGAGCACGTTCCTAAACTGTTAACTCATTGTATTTCAAATTTCTAACCTTTATTTATTTCTTATTCTTAGCTTTTGTATCAATTAATGGCTTTTGTCACCCCCGGGTGTCGGCCAGCACGTGTCGGTCCTGGTATTCGGGGAATATCAGGGTCGGGGCGTGTCAACATAAATTATCAAGGAGTGTGTGGATAGCATACCCCTTTACATATCTTATTGAAGATGCTCTAAAAATTAAATTAAAATAGAATTTCATTTTCATAAAGCTAAAATAAAAAAAATAAAAAACCTTCCAGCGAGGTTAATAAGCACAAATTAAAGAAAAAACCCTCCGGCAAGGTTTTCCACAAAAAAGACATATGACCCTCCACCAAGTTGTCTCTAAAAGGAAAAGGAAAAGCAAAAAAGTATCTAAAAGGCAAAGAAAAAAACCCCTCCAGCAAGTTGTATGAGAAAAAGAAAAATAAAAACCCCATCCGATATAACGACGGGAAGCCTTACTCGTAATTCATTGAGCTGAGTATATTCAAAGCATTTTCATCCTAAGCATTTCCTTTTTCTTTCATATGGCGTCTAACTCTCCAGCTCTTCCAACGTTTCCAACTTTCTTACGATTAAACTTGACCCTACCAATTACCCTCTCTGGCAAGCCCAGATGCTTCCCTTGCTTCGTAGCAGGAATCTCGTCTCCTTTGTTGATGGCACTAGCAAATGTCCTCCTGCCTTTCTCAAAGATGATGAGGGCAAACTTACTCTGAATCCGGAGTTTAAAGCATGGGTTCAACAAGATATTATGGTCATGTCCTGGATCAAGAGCTCTGTTCATCCCACTGTGTTGGCTGCCCTAATCGGGAAAACCAGTTCTCATTCTGCATGGACCTGTCTGCGCGAACGCTATGATTTGCAGCCCACTGCTCAGGGTCGTGATGAAGCCATATCTCACAGTGCTTCAGAGGCCCTTCTGCTCACTGATGAGCTGAAACAAAGGATGCATACTGTCTTCCCTTCTGATACTAGACCCACTGCTCCCGCTGCTGCTCGTGGCGGTCGTCCTGGTACCTTCCGTGGTCGTGGCAAAGGCTATAGAGGTATTCGTGGTGGTATGAGTACTCTGTTTTTAATCGTCTCTTTTTTTTCTTTTCTTTTTTTCAGTTGGCCACATTTTCATCTTTGTTATAGGCATAAGTGCTAGTTCTGGAATGGCTCACATTCCACCACACAAGTGGCACTCGAAGGAATCGGAGAGGCCATTGCTGACTTCAGAGCTGCGTGCTCAACGATTCAAGCCATATAACAAGTATAATGTGGATCCGACTGGAAGAATAGCTCATGCAGACCATTCTACATATAGATGGTGCGCCGTTGCTTTGGGTGAGGAGAACCAATTTCCGCCTTCTGTTAATCTTAAGCCCATTTGCTTGGATTCCACTGAGCCGAAAGTTGAAGAAAATCGTCTAGCTTTAATCAACACTAGTCTAGATGATGGTTAGTACTCCTAACATTTCTTTTAATGCGTTTATCTTTGCATGTTGTTACTTGGGTTGTGTGGATATGTTTGGTTTTGTTGTTCATGGTTGATACGTGACAGAAGGCGGTGAGTTGAAATGGAATTCGCCAAGGAGCCCTGGGGTATCTATAGCAGAAAATGTGCTGGAAGACTTGGTTTCTTCTTTTAAACACATGAGGAATGAAATGAAGTGCGCGCAGCTCAAAGAAGGAAGGCCTACTTTGCTTGCTAGAGTGGGGAAAGTACTTTTTCTTAGGTTAGATTTCTTCCTTATCTGAGTCATTTAGTTGATTGTTTCATGCGATTATCCTTTTTACCTTTATGTTGTTCTTTTATCCGCCTCAGAATACTGGTTGAAGTAGAACAATATAATAATAGTCGATACTATGATATAAGGTTACATTTGGCATTTTAGATTAGAAGGTAGGATGCCAAGTTGGACAGTGAAGCAGGATTCTAAAACTCTGCCCTTGTTTTTCGATACTTGATACAATATTATTTTGTTATCGATGCTTAATTACTGTCAATCATCTCATACTTTATATCAGTTTTGTACAAGGACAGTTGTATAACAATTTTTGTTAAAATCTTTGAATCAGGAGCCGTTTAGTTAACATGGAAGCCATCAGAACAAATTTGTGTACTGAAATCTTGAAACAATGGAGACGATTATTGTACACAAACATTCCAGTTTCATATAAGGAAAGGATTGTGAACGAAGTTGTCCCGAAAATTGGAGTTGATTTCGAAGGGGAGAAAGATTCATACCAAGTAAAGGTATTTCCTTTAGACACATCAACTTACTGAGTTCTGAGTTCATGCTTTCTACAATTTTAACGTTTGCTATTGAATCACTCATCTATGTCCTTCTTGTTTAGTTGTTTGATTCCACCAGATCAGATGCAACTCTCTCCTGCAAATGCCGTGTAACGAAAGAACATGGAAAGCTACAACTCTACAAGGCAAGTTTTCTAATTCCTGCCAACTAAATTGGATGAAGATATTTCCTCGACTCTTCCCCCTCTTAAGTTTCCCTGTTGCTGGGAGTAGAGTTTATTTACTAGGACTTACATTGCAATGCCAACTTTCTTTTTAGATTGAACTGAATCAACTGCGTAACATGGTCGTGGACATTTCATGCACTACCAAAGATCTGGACCTGAGACTGATGCTATGCACGAAGAGACTCGTCACCGATCTGACTGTAAGCTGCTTCACCCAGTACCTTTTAGAAATTTACATCTCTATTCCTTGTTTCAGCAAAACAATTATTTATATCCTATTTATCATGGAGCCACAACCAAAACAACCAATAGAACATTTTCTCTTAAATGTAACTGGACAATGAGGTTTAACCATATTGGATGCATTCCTGAACTTATGCAGCTTGAGGAAATGAGGTTTTGTGTTCATATGAATCGTTGCTATTTCAGGACGATGAGATGCAAAGCATTCGGAATCTGATTGATTCGGCGATTCTAGATCCAGATGTGAACGGCGGGTTGAGATGGCCTTCGGGAAAGGATTCTTCCGGAAAATACAAAGTTGATGGGGTTTGGCACTTAATAGCTAATACGTATAAAAATTCATCGTTCAGACTGAAAGTCAGACATGCGGATCGATTTGATTTTAGAACCCTAACTGGGGGAACTACGTGGGAGACAATTCTGATGTTGAAAAGGGTCGTGTCAAAGTTACAGGTAAACGCTGCCTTTTCTCTGGGACAATTTCTTTTAGTTCATTTGCTGAATTAAAAGGTTTATTTGAGAAGTTTTATCGTGTGCTGAAATCTCCTTTTCTTCCAATTTTCAGGAAGAGAATGCCGAAGCCAGCTCGGTTTCTGAGATACTGAATGAAGACATGCAGCTGATATGGGACAACTTCTTGAGCTGTGAAGGATTCCTGACGTGAAACTGCATGTTGTAAATCTGTGATTTGCTTTGATTTATTAGGTGTTTGTGATATCAGGATGTTAAACTTTTGTAGTCCTAGTTAAGTGCTTATTGGGAGACTGATTTGCTTTGCTTAATTAGGTGTTTGTGATATGAGGATAACTTTTGCTTCCGTATGTTTCATTTTAGGAGGTTCTACCCCAAAGTACAATTGATAACAGGTGGAGTGTGTGTGTGTGTGTAGTCTTGAGGTTCTAACTAAGATAACGACGAACAACACTTTACATCACACGTTAAAAATTCAAATGTTTGTAAATTAAGTTGTCCTTTGGTTATTTTAACTTTCTGATGGCGAAGATGGAGGGTTCTTTTTTTTTTTTTTTTTTTTTTCCTTCATATTGATTTGTTGGCAGGGCAGAAGAGTCTTCTTCAAGGAGAAACTAACATAAATTGATACAAATGTATGATATTGGTATAAAATAGTGAATCGTTATATGAAATTGAAATACGTACGAATTCGAAATTAGGAAAACTAATGAAAGAGTTTGAAAACTTTGAGTTTTAATGATAAAGACAAAATAAAGGGTAAAGTGAATAGTACCAGAATTGACTTTTTAGTGTAAAAATATGGTTTTTCATTAAAGTGATACCGGGAACTTTTCGTTAAAGTTTCCTTTGAAATTAAACGAAAACTTGAGGAGACGAAATATATATATATATATATATATATATATATTTTTTTTTTTTTTACATTTTTCGGTGGGATAGATAATTTGCTTTCCAAATTTCTGGCCCACTGAACCCCAAAAATGGCTTTTGTGTTGTAACATGAGTACTTCAAGATAATTTACATCTCCTATTGGAGATGCTTTAAGAATTTAACAGAAGAGTAATGTTTGGTAAACCAGTTTTTTATACTATATTTCTAAATTATGTGATTTGTCACCAATAGTAAATAAACACGTTGATCAATACATAAGTAATAATTCAATCGTCAATAATTACGTCATATAGTTTACAAAATATGATTTAGATTAATAATCTCTATAGCATTACCCTTAAATACAAATAAAAATTCAATTGCACAAAGCTACTTTTATTCGTTTATTCGTCTTAATAGCTACTCTAGGAGGAATATTTTATGCGGTGTAAAAGTTTAAAATCCTCCAGTGAGGTTAATTAGCAAAAAGATAAAGAAAATACCCTGACAAGATTTGTCATAAACATGAAAGATGTTATCTATACATCATTTTTTATATCTTACACTCATTTCTTAATTTTTGATTGTCAAGTCGAATAAATTAAAAATTATTAAAAAATAACATTTAACAAAAAAAAGTAATAAGTAAAAAAATGCGCGTAGATAGCACCGTCAAAAAACTTATAACCCTCCAGCAAGTTGTCTCTAAAATGACAAAAGAAGAAGAAAAACCCTCTAGCAAGTTGGAATTTATCTATTTTTATGGGTTAAGTATAAAGAGTAAAGGTGCGATCTTTCGAATTCCATTCCATTTCTATTTTCTTTAAAACCTCACAAGGCAATGCAGACAGTGAGAACATATAAATACAGTGAAAGAAGTGGCGGTTGATCACCCCAATTTCTTTATCTTCATCAAATTTCTCTTCCATCAAGATTTCAACTTTCAGTCTGCCTCTGTGTAGTGATTACTGGGTAAGCTTAGCTCCTTCATCTTCTCTCTCTGTCTCTCTACTTATAGATGGTTTGAATCATATCTGCTCTCTGTTCTGTGTTCATATGAATTCCAAGATATGTTTTGCTCCAAGAAATTGATAAATAATGATTACCCAGTTGATCAATTTTTTAGGAAAGAACCCTACCATAATCAGATTCTCACTTTATTAACTCAACCCTTCTTTTTAATTTTTGTAATTGTTCCGAAACAAATGAAAGTTCTGATTTTCTCAGAAACCAATTGGAAGTAAATAGTTAAATTAACCAAGAAACTTAGAGATAAGCTTGATATTCTTAAATAAACATGAGAAAGAACACGTCTTGCTGCATAAATTCGAGTACTCTGTTTTTAATCCTTTCTTCATTTCGTTTTTCTGTTGCCCTCACTTTGATCTTTGTGGTTTTTTAAGCTTAAGTTGTAGTTTTACAATGGCTTACATTCCTCCGCACAAGCGGCACTCGAAGGAACCGGAGAGGCCACTGCCGACTCCAGAGCTGCTTGCGCCTCAATTCAAGAAAAACTTCAAAGACAAGCCATATAATAAGTCTAATGTGGAATGGACTGGAAAAATAGTTTATGCAGACCATTCTACATCAAGATGGCTGACGATTGGTTTGGATGAGGAGAACCAATTTCCGCCTTCTGTTAATCTTAAGCCCATTTGCTTGGAGTCCACTGAGCCGAAAGTTGGAGAAAACCGTCTAGCTTTAATCAATACTAGTCTAGATAATGGTTAGTACTCTAACATTTCTTTTTGTGCGTTTATCTTGTATGTTGTTACTTGGGTTGTGGATGTGTTTGGTTTTGTTTTTCATGGTTGATACGTGACAGAAGGCGGTGAGGTGAAATGGAATTTGCCAAGAAACCCCGGGGAATCTCTAACAGAAAATGTGCTGGAAGACTTAGTTTCTTCTTTTAAACATGTGAGGAATGAAATGAAGTGCGCAAAGCTCAAAGGAGTAAATCCTACTTTGATTGCCAGAGTGGGGAAAGTACTGTTTCGCAGGTTAGATTTCTCTATTTTCTGATTCATTGGTTAGCTATTGAGCCTATTGTGCCATTCATTTAGTTGATTTTTTCATATGATTATCCTTTTTACCTTTATGTTGTTCTTTTATCCACCTCAGAATACTGGTTGTAGTAAGAACAAATAGTCTGTACTATGATAAAAGGTTACATTTGGCATTTTAGCTTTAGAGGTAGGATGCCGAGTTTGACAGTGAAGCAATTCTAAAACTCCGCCCTTGGTTTTCGATACTTGGTACAGTTATATTTTGGTATCGATGCTTAATCACTGTCAATCATCTCATATTTCACATCAGTTTTGTAACAACAGAAAAGAATTTTGTACTTCTCCTTTGTTGTACATGAGCAGATGAAAGACAGTTTTTTGTTGAAATCTTTGTATCAGGAGCCCGTCGGTTAACATGGAATCTATCACAAAAAATTTGTCTACTGAAACCTTGAAACAGTTGAGGAAATCATTTCACACAAACATCCCTGTTTCATATAAGGAAAAGATTGTAAAGGAGGTTGTCCCGAAAGTTGGAGTTGATTTCGAAGAGGAGAAAGACGTATACCAAGTAAAGGTATTTCTTTTAGACATGTCAACTTACTGAGTTCTTAGTTCATGTTTTCCATAGTTCTGACTTTAGCCATTGAATTACTCATTTATTTTCTTCTTGTATAGTTGTCTGATTCTACGAGGCCAGATTCAACTCTCTCCTGCAAGTGTCGTGTAATGAAAGAACATGGAATGCTACAACTCTACAAGGCAAGTTTTCCAATTCATGCCAACTAAATTTGATGAAACCATATATGTTGCGTCAATAGCACGATATTGATTAGATAATTTAGATAAAAAATAGTATGCTGCAAAATATGAGTGTTATAAGATAACTAGATGTTCAACCACTGAATGTGATTAAGCTCTCCAATTTTTGGAATAATTGGTGAGGACTGAGGAGCTTTTCCTGTCATTAATGTTTTCCAGACTCTTCCCTGTTGCTTGGTGTAGAGTTTGTTTACTAAGACTTACATTGCAACACCAACTTTCTTTTAGATTGAACTGAATCAACTGCGTAACATGGTCGTGGACATTTCATGCACTACTAAGAATCTGGACCTGAGACTAATGCTATGCACAAAGAGACTCGTAACAGATCTGACTGTAAGCTGCTTCACACTGTCCTTTATAAATTTACATTTCTATTCCTTCTTGTTTCAGAAAAGCAATTATTTATAACCTATTTATCATGGAACCACAATCAAAACAAACAATAGGATATTTTTTGCAAATGTAACTGGACGATGAGGTTTTACCATATTGGATGCACACCTGAACTTATGCAGCTTGGATTGAGGTTCTGTGATCATGTGAATTGTTGATATTTCAGGATGATGATATGCAAAGCATTAGGGATCTGATTAGTTTGGCGATTCTAGATCCAGATGTGAAGGGTGGGTTGAGATGGCCTCTGGGAAAGGAGTCTTCTGGAGATAAATACAAAGTTGTTGGGGTTTGGCATGTGATAGCTAATACGTATAAAAATTCATCGCTGAGACTGAAAGTGAGACATGCTGATCGATTTGATTTTAGAACCTTAACTGGGGAAGCTACTTGGGAAACAAGTCTGATGTTGAAAAAGGTCCTGTCAAAGTTACAGGTAAACGCTTCCTTTTCTCTGGGACAATTTTTTTCATGTGCTGAAATAGAAGATTTATTTCAGAAGGTTTATCGTGTGCTGAAATCTCCTTTTCTTTCAATTTTAAGGAGGAGAATGTCGAAGCCAGCTCAATTTCGGAGATACTGAAGGAAGATATGCAGTTGATATGGGATAACTTCTTGAGCTGTGAACATTATCTAACATGAAATTGCAAGTTGTAAATCAGTGATCACCGTCTATGCGACATATCTGTGTATATCCTGAGTTTTATGTCCCAACATTCGGCACATTTGATGAATAATATGCAACTGTTTTAACATTTCTTGCAATTCTGTTTGTATCTCGCGTTGTTGATATAGTTAATGAAATTTTTGCGATTCGATGACTTCATTGCCGGTAAATGCTTCGGCTCAGATGCTTTCTTACAACACAAGATAGAAAAGTTCTGGAATTGCACAGAACCAAGGCATCACATATCGACTGTAAATAAAACCATTGCATGTACACAGCAAGGCTTTATTCCTTGAGTTGTTACCATCTACTGTTCATATATGAATTATACACTATGGGTGAACAGAAAATTAAGGCTCGATTTATATCAAATCTTCAATCTTGAGCTTAAACTGTGGGCACTATACGTGTTCATCGTTTGCTTCGTAGACATACGTAATCTGATTTAGTTTATCTGATCTTGGATATTCACTCACGCTGCGCACCAACTTTGGACGATTGGTCGAGCTCAACTTCTTCATCTCCTGAGTACTCTTTTTCTCTTCGACATTGTTTCCTGAAGTCTTGTATGTCATGTATAGGATCATTTGGGCAATGCCCAAGAGAAACCCTAATACGTTTGGTAACTGCGCTCACCCGACAACCATTCGTGTCAGATTTCGAAATTAAGGGTTAGGTAGCCTGAAAATTCCAAGAATTGAAATTGGGAATTGGTACTTACTGCAATGTAGTAATCTTTTGTAAAAAATCCGTAGAAGAACCACATGGTGGCACAAAGTGTCAGGAAAAAGGACAAAGAAAATGGCATGAATTCCACACTTTTGGTTCTTATTACTTGCCTCTGCAGGAATGTAAATCCATGTCAAATGACAGTGATTGCCGTAATTCTAGATTTAAAGAAAAATAAAGATTAATTTATTAACTAGTTAATAAGTACCATAATGCTTAGAGGAGCAGCAAATACAGCAATGTTAAACACGGCACAAATCCATCCAACGGCACTTATGCGCACTGTCCCTCCAAGAAGGAAGAAGGTGACTGCCAGCACCAACCCTAAAGCGGCTACATTTACTAGCAGGATCCAAATCAATGTAGTAATCTGCGAGCCATGATCAAAGTATAAGCATATATCCAAATTAACTAGCATACATATCTGTTTTCTTCAGTACTTCCTGACAAACATAAAACAAAAAAAGAGCCATGCATAATGTTTGTCTGACCTTGTCATTCTTGGATGCGTATACAATGTAGAGGATCAGGTAAGTAACTTCTATAACGATTCCGATGCTGTTGATGCTGATGATCAAATAAGCATTTGTCTTGAGGACTCCATAATACAACAATAAAGTCGCACTTAGTAGGGCAATCACATAAGGTATGGATTGAAACCCTTTCGATGATTTCTTCTTGTATATTGTGTAAAACGTTGGTCTGCAGAGAGAGAGAGAGAGAGAGAGAGAGTGTTAGGGTAGTGCAACTTATTCATAAAGATGTGAATTAGGGATAGGGACATTTAAGTACGTAGTGAATTAATTATTTTTCATGTTAAGGGGTCTTACATTGGCGCCAAGAACGTCATGAATGACACAATGTTACTTGAGAAACAATGAAAATAATCCCAGGTCATGTCAGAATCAGATAACATGATGAACAATATCGTAAAACAACTTGAAAATTTTAGATGTTTTAAAGAACTTTTTTAGAAGAATGAAGTTTGAGTGAGCATTTTAACTAATTACCTCCTTAATTATATATAATCATATGAACGGAAGAGAAAGAAAACTGATATATATACAGTTATATACATATTTTACAAACCTAAGAGACCGAATATAAAAGCCAGTTGTTCAGTATTCAAGAACCGCATCGTGAGCTGATGACTGAAGAATATGTTTTCAACTTTGCAGTTTTTTTTTTTTTTTTGTGAAGCTTTTTTCTTCACCTTTGCTTGCAGTAGTTAATTCGACACTGCAAAAAGCTTAAGGATTCCATTTCTCAGGTACCCTTTTATAGCAAGATAGAAATTAAAAAGTTAGGCAACTCATCAATTACGTGACAAGTCTGAAATGAAACTTCCATCCTCGTTCACAGTTTATATACGATGATAATATTAATTTATTATATATGTGAAATCCTAAAACCACATGGCATCCATGAGCTGCCCATATATTACTGTGCTACGTAGATTAATCCAAGTGTTGAGTTTCATGATCGTGATGTCACATCGTGTCCACCATCCATCAAAGGTTTTGTTTACAGAGTTATCCTACTCAATGGCTGAGTACTTTTGGAAAAAAAAATGGCTGAGTACTCATGCATGTGTGGGAATGAAAATACTCACTCCTCCCGTATAGTTTAACTTTTTGCTACCCAAACATGTAATTAGAAATAACACTACTCAATATAAGTTATAATTTGGGATGTGATATTCACACACCTTTTTTTACTTCTCTCACACCCTTTTAATTTTCAGTCGTTGGATCGGATGAATTGAAAAATATCAAAAGACATAAATTAATAAGAGGTGTGGGAGAAGTAAAAATGGGTGTGTGGATAGCACACCCCTATAATTTATTTTGTCAAGTATTAGATGTGTGACTCTTTTACATTCTTCAACAATTAAGTAGACAAGAATTAAATACCATCTTAATTCCGTTGTTGCTTGATTTTTTATGTTCTTTTGGTCATTATGTTGAGTTTGAATAAACTTTTGCATTTTGTTATCCATTCCTGCACTTTAATTAGACAAATAAAAACACAAAATAATTAATATATTAAAACACAATGACTATATTGGTTAAATTAAAATTTTCAAGTAAAACACATAGATTAAAAAGGGTACTAAATCCAAGTTATTAACATTTTGTCCACTAGGCACAGAATGTGTTCTAATAGCACCATTGTTTCTAAAATTATATTTAAATATCTTTATATTTTAATGGTTAGGGAAGTGTGATCTGCCATTCTAGGAATACAAACTTTTTAATTGTGAATCTATACAATTTAAAAAGTTCATAAGATACTCCATTTATTGAAGGTTCCCTGCTTCTGCATCTGCTTAACTTTGGGATGGTTACACAAGATGGGAACATGTCCCAATTTGTGAGCAAATATTGGATAATAGCTAGCTAGCTAGAAAGTACCTATCTATGATGTGACAACTAAAGAGACTTTACCTGCAATGTAAAGTAAAACCCTAATTTTAACAATCGACTATCAACGGAAAGTAGAATATTTTTGTGGTTGCAGAAAAGTAAAAGCATTTGTCTGGTTTGGAAAGATTGGAATCATTGGATTGTACATGAATTACTCATCTTTCTTGATTGCTTGGTCGTTTTGAAGCTTAAAATGCTCTTTACTTTAATATGTGATAATAAAAATTGATAGAAGTGATTTATGAGTTTTTTTACCTTAAATTACTTTGATCATTTTGTAAAAAATCTGTCAATATTCTCGTTATATGAAAGTGTTGGTTTAACAAAATATCATTAAAAAGGTGGTCATATAGTCGTTTAAATGACAATTTAATGAGTATATTGATAGTTTTTCACAGAATGACCAAAATTATTTATGGTGAACAAATTCATGGATCACTTCTATCGATCCTTGTTAGAGATCAAAATAAAGAGTTTTGCCAATTTAAGAAATCATTTTAGCTAAAATAATCCTATAATTATCATCCGAATGCGAGGTGTTGATGGAACGGTTCGAGGTTAGCCAAGAGAAATGCCGTTAAATGACATCGCAAATTAGGTCAAAAGTCGAAATTTGTACTTATAGTTTACCGTAAGTGTTAATTTAGGTTCCGTAGTTTCCATTTTGTTAACTTTATCATGTGGTTCACTTAATTGATTGGAATTAATAACACCAATTCGGGTTTTTTTTGTTATAACACTTTCACTACAAAAGTAAACCAGAAAATTCCGTACTTTTAAAAAAACATGTTATAAGGCTTAAACATGCATTCTTCTTAGAATTATAATAAGGGAACTTTAACGAAAAACACCTGGTACTGTTCACTTTAACAAAAAATCACATTTTTACACTAAAAGTCAATCATGGTACTATTCACTTTACCCTTTATTTTGTCTTTATCATTAAAACTCAAAGTTTTCAAGCCTTTTTCATTAGTTTTCCTTTATAATAACCCTATATGCGAAATTGTGAAATGCATGTGGTCCAAAACGAAGATAGTAGCAATAATCTCTCAATTTTAAATTAATTGGAGTAATGGTTTCTCAGCTAAAAATTTGTAATTGGTATTAAAACGTGCAACTATGGTCGTTTCGTCAACTTTGACAGAACTTCTGTCAAAATGTGTCATGATGGAACGAGCATGGCTACAATTGAGTTAAAGTAGAGGATCATTACTAGAACTGAGTTAAGGTAGAGGATCATTACTATAACTGAGTTAAAGTGGAGGGATTATTGCTCCACTTGGATTAAAGTTAAGGGAACATTGCTACAATTTTCTCAGTTAGTTTTCCATATTTGCTATTTTGATTCAGTCTCACGTGCGTGACATGTGACTCATTTTAACTAAAGCTCTGATGGAGTTAACAAAAAAACCATAGTTGCACATTTTGGTGAGTTAAGGGGCAAGGGTCATGAATTTTTAATTAAAATGATCATTGCTCTAATTGAATTAAAGTTAAAGGATCATTACTACAATTTCTTCTAAACGTATTGTAGTCAAGTTCCACAAAGAAAAACTTAGAGAAATGAAACTACAGTACTTAAATAATAATTACCATAATTAATTAATGGCCGTCCATGATGCCTTTTCTTAGAAGCAACATTGAATACACCTAGATGATCCCTCTGTCCATTTTCCATTTAAACACTGAGACGGCTCTCACAACACTTTCTATATATAACTGGGCTGTTTGCCCTAAATCTTTCTGTCATTTGGTAACTTAGCGTGGAATTCTAAGCACCACACACACTCATCATCTACGTACCAACTAGGTTTTATCCAAAATGAGGATTAACATTCACGCTGCCATATTCGATCGACCCAATGGGGCAAACTTGCCAGATATTTGTAATGCATATTCTTATGATAAACTTTATAGGTCTATGCAGTGGCAAATTCAAAGTTCTAACTTTGGATGGTCTTAATTAAAGGATGTTAGGCACCAGTCCGGAGGTGAGCTGGGGCGCCCATGTGCCTAGACAGGATCTAGGCAAAAGCCTAAGTGGGCAAGACAGATTTAAGTAAACTTACTATATATCGTACAAGTTAGTACATGTCTATTTACACTTACAAAAAAAAAATGTACTTGTATTGAGAATTTGAGGTTTATTATTCAACATATAACATACAAAAATATCAGAATTTTTGTTTTAGTATTTTAGTGAATTTGATGGTATGAGATGAAAGTGCAAGCAACTACGAGTTCATAGTATTTTATGAAATACTTTACAGATGTCGTAAGAATTTATAGGGAATTTTTAAAAGTAACGGTGTGAAACGTATGGTGTAAAAATATTGGTTGAGTAATACACCATCTGTTTGCTAATTACAATGCTAGGGTTGAACAACCTGATTGGACAACAATTAAAAAAATGAGAGTTGGTCAGGTGGGAAATGGAGAGAAAAAGTCTTTCTTCTTCGTTGTAACCAAGGTCTAAGAACAACAAAGCCATGGTGGTTTTCTCTCTTCCACCACATGTTCACACCATTGGGTGGTCCTCAGAGGGTCTCACATATGCTTCTTTGGACGTTCGGGTGTTCCCGGACCACCCGAGTCCAAGAGTGAATCCGCCATTGGGTCTATGCAAGGTCCACCACCAATATCACTGATTGTCTTAAGTTAACCACTTATTACTAGATGTTGGGTTTTATCACAAAAGGTCTTGGTGATATTAGGGTTGGAGACTCTCATATATTAATTGTATATCATTTTTGTCATAGGACCGATGAGGGATCTTATTCTCTAACACGCCCCCTCACGAGATGACAAGGGAAACCATTTCCCACATCGAGAGTTGGTCAAATTTTTATACTAGAGCTAACACAACTTTTTGAGAGTCGGGTCATCATTTAGGGACTAGAGCCAACACAAATTTTTGAGAGTCGGGTCATCATTCAAGGACTAGAGCTAATGCAACTTTTTGAGAGTCAAGTTATCATTTAGGCTCCATGGTCCATTCAATCAATATCCTTAAGCTTGAGGTAGCGTAACTTTTGAAAGGCCAACTTAAGGAGGCAAATTCAAGCCCAGTAAATCGGGCCCATGACGTGTCGAAAGAATAATATGCTTTGATACCATGATAAGCTTTATAAGCCCATACATGTCCACCACCAATATCACTGATATTGTCTCAATTTAACCACTTATTACTAGGTGTTAGGTTTTATCACAAAGAGCCTTGGTAATATTAAAAGTGAAAACTCGTACAGATTAATTATATATATATTTTTTTTCATATAACTAATGTGAGATCCTATTCTCTAACATGTTAAACTATCAATCTCGACCACATATTCAAACAAGAATTATTGCACAGTGAACATGGTTCGTATTCACATTCCAATAACATATTATCATAAGCGCATTTTGCCAGAATACAAGACGAGATGATGCAAGTACAACTTTTCTGGTCAGAATTAAATCCCCTTGAAAGTTTCCTTGTTTTCTTATGATGTAGCCCAATCACTTTAAAATATAGCTCATATGTTGTCAAAGTTTAAGGAGTTATCTGTGACCAGCTTGGAAATCTTTCTTCTTTTAATTTGTGAAAAGGCATTATATATATCTTTCTCGTTTATGACAAGGAATGAGGGTAAAGAGAAATAAATATGCACACATATCACAATGATTTGCAGGTACGTAGCGGAAACTACTATGCAAGAGGCAGTGGTAGTGGTACACCTTAGATTATATTAATTACATCGTTATTTCTTAATAATTAAGGAAAATATGCGTAAATAGAAATTTGTTACAAACTTTTAATATT